GATCATATGTACTTTCTCCCTTTCTTTTTCCCTGAAAACCCTGACTTCTTCCTCCTTGACAGAACTAACTGGAAATTTCGCGCCCACTAGGATGGTTCAATGAGGGAAAAAATTAAGAGCAGGATCGATGGCCACAAACTAAAAGGCTCTATTTTGTTTCCACAGAAAAATCAAGGCACGATCAAGGTTCGGGTGCTTACTAAGTGGAATCATTTGGGAGGGCTGATGAACATGAATAATGCAAATCTTCTTCCCTCCAGTGTTTTGCAATGCCCAAATAAGTGTAGACTTGCTTTTAGCCACCTGTTTATCCACAGCAACGAAGATTTTCTCCTCGATCAGCCGCGAAACCGGTTCGTCCATGATCCCGCTCCTGCTTGACCTTGATCCAGGGCTACCTATCCCATGAAATCTCATGGATCCAGCCCTTTCACCCATTGCAGGAATTGGAGTCACCAAAGCCATTGCAAAACCTCTCTCTCTCTCTCTCTCTAAAAACTCAAAAGCCTCGACTCTCCAGGAACACACAATTCGACAAACCCAGATCGTTTGATTCCTGATTCCACACAACAACGAATGAAATTAAGAATTCACCAGATCATCCCGAAACACGAATCAACAACCAGCGAGTCAGAAAACAAGTATTTAAAAAAAAAAATCCAAAAGGAAAAGTTCGAACCAGATTGAGAAAATTGACTACAGAGCAAACAGACACTCTAGAATCGTAGTGAAGTCCTTAAACTTTCCAGAGAATTTTACGGATAAGGAAGAAGAAGAAGAAGAAGAAGAAGAAGAAGAAGAAGAAGAAGAAGAAGAAGAAGAAGAAGAGTTTTATCTCGATTTCGAAACGTATTTGACCAAAGTTACAGAAAAACGACAACAACCACTACGCAAGGCACGAAACTGAGAAATTGAGTTTATTTTACTTTCTCTGAAAATTACGAGAAGAGAGAAAGAAAATTCAGAGTAAAGATGATTCTATCAAAAATTAAAATTCGATTGCTTTTACATACCAAAACGAAGCTTCTGGGGGGGGGGCTTTTTGTGTGCCTCTTTGGTGCTCAAATGTGACGTGGTCGAAAGTGAGAGAGTATAAAAGACAAGAGAGAGAGAGATATATATATCTCCTGTGTGTAAGCACACAGTAATTGTTATATATTGGGAATTTTTGGGCTAGTCCACCTTAATCGATTGAAGCCACGTGTACCTGATGATAAGTTTAATCATAGAAGCACAGATGCGATTGGTACACCAACTCGTAGACTAATATTACACGCAGTCTTTATTCCGACGTGTCTACCATTTTATTCCCGCCGGTGAATAGCAGACATATCTAATTTCGGTTCGCACCATTTTACATTCCGATCGGTAAAAGAGAATATTCGAATAATGACCAACCAGTTGTTAATTAGAGAAATATGATTTTTTTTTTTTTGTAACTAGCTATAATAACCGTGATAGATAACTTTTGATGTCAATTCGTCTGTATAACTTGAAAAAAAACAATAAATAAAAAGGGAAATCAGTTCCAGTAGTTTAACTGGTCCTTTGAATGTGTAAATCCATAAAACATCATCACAAAATTGATTTCTATTGTCCACTGTCATTAATATGGTATATGTTTTAGACAGACTAATCATCCAAGCTTAACTTCCTATTCCTAATTATATACAAATTTCTAACTTGAATATATATATATATATACATACATACATACATACATACATATATCTTTGTATTGCTAATTTCGTTAATTTGTTCAAAAATATGTTATCGTTTTCTTTAAAAAAATATTGAGTATTTCTGTCTTGGAATATAGATGAGAAAAAGATCTAAAAATAATGAATATAGATGAAAAAAACATATTTTAAAGATTTCATTTACTAGTTGAATTGTTAATGTGGCGTGTGTGGTTGTACCATGTTATATATTGTAACATATTTGGAATATTCCTCATAATGCCTATTCCCTTGTCATTTTCACCTGAATTATATTATTTTCCCGGGGCCGTAATAGAATTTTATTTCTTATTAAATATTATTACGTTAATGTGTAATTGACAGGTTTTAAAAAATAGATAAAGGTTGTCTCTTGATACGAAGACAAGCGAGGCACATCCACAATTTTGCTAGTTTATCATATCAAACCAAATTATGTTAGCTGGGGAGAAAGAAAAAAACATTATCTTTATTGTGGAATATTTCAACTTAGGATATACGATTTGGCAATGTTAGCATCTTTTTAGTCATTCGTCGAAAGCTTAATCTTAAAGTGCAATTTGGAATTGGTTGTGCACGTTTGATCCTGTTAAAAAAATAACGTTAATTTACTAGTCTTCACGATAACCGGGATGATATATACTACTATATTATGATGACTATTAAGTAATAGATGAAAATGATAACGAAGTTATATTAAATGGGCCATATATTATGTACGGGCTTTTATTTATTCATTTAAGCGCGGTTTGAATTCTACATCCGAATCCAAACTTTTGCTTTGAAAAGTCTGAAATCCAAAGGTTTGCTTTTAAAAATGTGGGGCTGTTCAAGGATGTAAAACATTTCAAATTGCAGGCTTGTAGCACAGAAAAAAGTCATAATACTTACACTATTCTTCTTCACCCACCCATTACATTAGCATTTTCGGCTTTTACTTTCTTTCTTTGTTAGAAATGCGTTTATCCATTAATGTTTCTTTTGATTTGATGTGATTTTTCTATTTGGTTACTTTAAGTGTTCGATTTGTCGACGCGCTCGATTAATTACTATAGGATAAATATACGTGTGGCTGAAAAAAATGTATACAAACTTTTTTTTAGGTCTAAGAATGTATACAAATTTCCGGTCGTGTTCGTGACAAAATTTGTTTGTACTAGTGTTATCATTCTATTACCATCCGAATGCAAAGTTGTATAACAAGACAAGAATAACATATGTAGTAATAAGTTGTTTATTAAATTTGTATAGAAAATTTAGATCAACAACATATTATGCTCCATATAGGATGTTTAAGTTTTAACTTTTAAGAGAGAGTCATGCATATATATCATTGTTTTTACGCTATCGCCATCTGTTCATGATGATTAGTTTTGTTACCAACACCCTTAACTAAATTAGTGTGGTAACTAGATAGAGTTGTAATATGGCAACCGCACCCTGCTTAGGTTAGAAATTATAATCTTTCGTTTTTCTTGTTAGGTAGATCATTATGACAAATTTTTTAATAATAAGATACCAAAAAATTTGTATAATCTCAAAATTAAGTCAAAAGAACTATAATGCATTTAATTACGTAAGACGCAACCAGAAATGTTTTGTTAGCTTTCTAATTTGCAATTTCCTATCTTTCTAAATAAGTAATTAAAAGCCTCAATTCGGCGATGGTACCTAAGAACGAACAAGAACAACGAAAGCCATCACAATGCTGAAAGCGATGCACACACAAAAAAAAAAAAAAAACCCATCAAATCTTCACATGCGCTTTAGGACAAAAGATGCGAAAAAGGGCTGTGATCGTGAGAGAAGAATCCTAAGAAACTATATGCTTCGTAATTCTCCACAAACGTCGTCTGTTGTCATATGTTGAGTACATACAAGAACGTTGTCGTTTTCTTTGTTTTTGGTTTTATGTTCTTCATTGCGCGCACATTTGTTAATGTTTTTTTTTAATTTTATTTATTTTTCTTGGTACATAATACTTTTACAAATAATTAGCTGGTTTTTAGTTAGGGATTTTCCTTTATGGATATTTAGAGGTTTGTAATCTCTTTAAACCGAATCTACTTACATTAATCTGACTTAGAAATATGTTAACGGGTAATTAGGAATCTAATGCAGTGATATATTAATCACGATATAAAATTATATAGTTCGAGCGAATAAAAGATGATATGTTGATTTAACATTCTATAGTGACAAGGCTACAAACTTTTTCATTTAGTTGGACTAGATATACAATCATAAATGGACATCATAACAACTATATTGGCGCATGCATAACGACGAAAATATATAAAACCATATATGCATACATATATCTGCTTTAAGTTATGTTAAAAATAATATTTATTTGTATGGATGCACACACGTAGCCTAATTCGCAAATGGAACGGAGTAGGTGTGGTCCAAACAGGAATCAACATCGTTGTTGTATTATAATGATAATAATACACAGATGTCCAAATATTCATAAATGGATTTTGTCAATTGTGAGCGATTCTTTGGCTTTATTCCTTTTATTTCAAACCTTTTATCAAATATTCACTTCATAAACCATATTTTAACTCATATACACAAAAAGATATTAAATAAAATTATGATACGGATAAAATACTAATGAATACCATTAAACTACGCAATCTCAAACTCTTTTTTCATCTCACTATTGATAGTTCATCGAATGACCAAACATTAATTAGACTAGTCAATGGTTACTAGTTAGCTGATTAACTCACTAATCATACGTGTATATTCCACAGTTAGGATTTAGGTAACCCTTTTTCTTTACATTCAGAGTTCTACTACATAGTCGACATTGTATTTAGATTGATTTTGTTGTCAAACGAATTTTCACCAATTATTTCATTTATTACGATCGTGCTCACGACATTTATTAGAGACTGAAGTAATTATTAAACCATAATTTTTATTGGGACTCGACGCTGACTTCATAAATAACGGTGAGTCTGAGTCAGACCAAAAAGATAAATCATGGTGTGAAAATGACGAGTTTGCCCTTCACGACACACTTGTCGACGTACGGTACTCACTCGGGCAACTTGGCTCTCCCGAGGACCATTTACCTACCGACTCAGAGACAATTCCCCATACCATCATCTCTCATTTATCTCTCATTTCTTTCTCTCTCTCTCTCTCTCTCTCTCTCTCTCTCTCTCTCTCTCTCTCTCTCTCTCTCTCTCTCTCTCTCTTCAACATATACATACTAACATACACTCATTATATATATATATATATAGTTACCGAGAGTCGCAACATTTATTGATTATGTACTACGATGGTTTGTATCCACATTTTTGGCTAAAAAAGACAGTAAGTACTTATTTAGGTATCTACTGTCCGATTCATTATATTTTCCTTAATTTAGTAGACACCTAGATTAGTAGAAAAACTAACTGTTTTCAGAAGATGTGACTCATTCTATTTTTCTTTTTTCTATGTGGAAAATGAACAGAACAAAGAGAAGCTCTTGACTTTTTTATTAAATCGATTTTTCTCCTATTATTTTATTATAGTATCATACGAAAACTCATGAAACTTGATCCGATTTCTCTGTTTTATTAATTTGGGTTTTTGTCTTCTCTGATGTAAACTCTTGTAAATTGATGCCAATTGTCAATTTCTTAATCAAAAATCTGTATTTTGTTTTTTGGTTCTCTGTTTTTTTTTATAAAAAAATTTAATATTTCTGGTGAGAGGTGGGTCTACTCAATGACACATTTTGTTTTAGTAAACATCTACTCTCGTGCTTCGAGCTTCGTCACCTCTCGTGAGTTTATTATAATAAAGCGAAAAGAGCTGCGATTTATGCGAAATCTGTAAAAATCTTTTTTTTTTTTTAAGGTTTCTTAACAATGGAGGCTGAACTCGGAGTGAGTAGGGTAAAGTATTATCACTAGTTCTTCCTTTACATCTGCATTTTCGATTTTCCTGTTCTTGGAGGCCTTGGATCGGATTCTAAAGGTAAATTAATATTTATGCTTTTTCTTTGATTGTAGTCGCAGTTTTGGCATCTTTTTATTTTTACAATCACTCTTTTCTCTAGATTTCGTTGAAGAGAAGAAAAAAAAACATAGAGGAGAAAGAAGAGCATTGTGGATTATAATGGAGAAAGAGATTTGTAGAAGACAACTTTCAAGAGAAGGGATAGGATGTGTTTGGGTGTTTATGAGCATGTTTGATTTCAGGCATGGTGGGCCTAACCAGAAACTGTTGATGGATAAGAAACGTGGAAGCAAAAGAATCATAGGTTTTCTTCCTTTCTTATTCTTTTGGGTCATTAAGAAAACGTGTCTGAAACAAAACGATTCTCACTTTCTTGTTTAATGTTAAAAATGCAGGCATTGAGACCAAGGTTGAGAAGCAGCTTACCTGTGACAATGAGGTCTTTGTTTAGTGTTTTTTTTGTTGTTGTTGAATTTGACATTGGAGAGTCAAACTTGCTTTTTATGATGTATAATGGTTGTGACAGGAATCAAGAACTCATGTAGATTGTTGTGTTTATTGTCTCAGGAGAGTGAAGATGGAATGCAGAGTGTCAAGAAGCTCATAGAAGAGGAGATTGATGAGCAAAAGTGTGATTTTGAATGCAGAGGAGGGACAAAGGCGAGAAGCCGGAAGAGGGGAAGTAGAAACTGCAGCAAAGCCAGTGATGATATCAACGTTTCTATTGCCGGTGATGATGATGATGATCATGCAGATGATCAGTGTCTGAGAATATCTCAGAGCGAAGCTGACTCGATAAGTGATGATTCCGAAGAGAAATTCAGCGAGCTGATAAAGAGGTTGATAGCTCAGAAGGAAAGTGAGATAGATGTGCCAGTATCTGGAGATTCTCCGAGAGCCAAAGAATGTACACAAACAATTGTAATTTTGAAGCCTGAACCAAATAGCTTGGATGTTGGCTCATCACCTGAAACACATGCTAGAGGAAACAAGTCTAAAAATGGGAGGTTCGGCTCTCGCTTCATTCTCAGTAGAATCAGAAGAAGACTAAAATCAGCTGTTGGAAAGAATCCATGCAACGCTCAACACTCCTCTGATCCAGATCCAGTTGCATTGTCGTCTAGCATGACTCAAAACTGTTCTTTGGGAGAAGATATAGAGACTAATAATTCCGGGCGGCATGTTTCAGATGGGGAAATGTTGCCTGAAGTTGCTTCAAAAGGTGAGGCTACTAAAGAGGAAATTATCCATGGAAGTGAAGATACGAAGAAGAGTATGTGCGGTATATACATCGCAGCCAAGAAACATCTGTCTGAAATGCTTGCAGAAGGAGATATAGATGTGGATTTACCTGATAAGCAAGTACCAAGAATCCTGGGGAGGATTCTTGCTCTCCCTGAGTTCTCCACACCAGAAAGCAGTCCAAGAATGACCTTGGCGCATGATTTTGTTGGTCATCAGATAACAGAGAAACCAAAGATTCAACAATGCAGTTCGGAAGATTACTCTGAGACACTTGGATTGGATTCAAGCAAGCATGAAGAAACAACGTCTACGAGTGATATCCTAGTTCCCCGAGGTGATTCATTTTTTCTTTTGATATGATTCTATCTCAGCCTTGGCCGGTTTTTTGAAATGTCAGAATGAAACTAACTGCTTTTGATGAGTATTCAGCAGGCGTCTCAGACACTGAGAAGGAAGGGGAAGAGAAGACTGTTCTGGATTCGTTGTCTATAGCAAATAGCTCTTCCGTTATCCAACAAGATGGATATGTTGATGAGGATAAGCACCAGCAACTCTTGGAAAAGGTTTGAATCTTTGTGTACATGATACATTTTCGATTGTTCTCCTTAAGGAAGCCTCATATTTCCTTCTTTATCTCTGACTCAAGGAAACTTTTGACGAGAGCCATTCACCGTGTTCTCCACCAAACTCTTCAGTTAGAATGTCTGATTGCCAAGAAAATTCTACAGATGTGCCAGGAAAGTCAAGTCCCGTGTCTGTGCTTGAGCCTCTCTTTACAGATGATGACATTAGTCCAGATAGCTCCAGGTTCTCTTCAGGTATGCCTACAGAGAATTTGCTACACCAGTTCAGTATTCTGGTTAATTATTTTTCAGAGCTCAGTTTCTGACCTTTCTCATTTCGTCTCAATCAGTCAAAATGCGGTTGCAACCACTGTGCATAAGATTCGACGAACCTGATTCTCCGAGACCCGACAAAGAAAATGAAGTCAAAACTAGAATGGATGACAAGGAATTGGCACTTGCATACATTCAAGCCGTGGTGAAATCCTCAGACTTGAACTGGGAAGAGCTCTTGGTGAGATCTTTTTATTCGGAGCAGATTCTTGAGCAGGCTCTAATGGATGACATTGATTTCTGCTCAACAAACTTCTGCAACGACAAGAAACTCCTCTTTGACTGTATCAATGAAGTTCTTATGGAGTTGTGTGGGCATGGCCCTTGGATTTCATTCGCCAAACCTGCAGTCCGGTTTGTCCCAGACATGGAAAATGCTGATGAATTGGTGCAAGAAGAGGTTTACTGGCATCTCTTACCTTTGCCTTCTCCTCACACGTTAGACCAGATAGTGAGGAAAGACCTGGCTAGGACTGGAAGCTGGATGGACCTCCGCTTTGATATCGGCTGCATCGGTTCTGAAACAGGCGAAAGAATCCTTGAAGAACTTCTAGAAGAGATAGTCAGCAACTGCACAGACTTTTTCCAAGCTGAAACACAGTCAACAAAACCACAATGCACAAGTTGATTCCTTGAGTTTCAATGCTCCAACCAACACTTGGTGCAAGAAAACTTGTGCTTACAAGAACGACACTCATGGTCGTCGTCAGGAGGCTCCTTCGTTTACTCTGAACAGTTTCACTTCCACTGCCATGGATAAGCTCTAGTTCCTTTTCTTGTGCAGATACACACAACCACAGGTTTTAATACCACAAAGACTGCTATAAAACTAAAACAAACAAAAAACCTCTCTTTTCTTTTCTTTGCCATTGGGCCTCTGTAGAGTTTTGAGTTATGCTGTGAATGTTAGCTGGTATGTTGTTATATGAGGATGAATAATAGACGAGGCTCGAACTTAGATAAGATGAACATCTTGCTTCACTTATGGTTTCAGTCAAAAACCAATCCGATTTTAATCATACAAAGTTTGAAAGTATGCTTTCACTAATGAATCTTGACCACCTTAACCATCTCATGGTGACATCCCTATTCCAATCTCTCTACTTTAACAAAAACCAGCAGCGACAGAATTTTATATACAATAGCATAGTGTCACTCCTAGACAATGCTTCTATATTTCCAACTCCACAAAGCAAAGTCCATAGCATCTCCACAATGATCATGTTATTGAACTAAGAGCATCTCTATTGAGGGTAGGTATCTCATTGAGTATCTCCTATCAAAACAAAACTAAGATATTAAGTAGTGTTGAGAGATATACTGTGTCTAAGCTTTGTCTGTTTTTTGAACTCTCTCAACTGTTGTAATTTAAATATATTTCATACAAAAGACTTTTAAGACTCAGAACACAATTATAACAAAAAAAAAAAAGCACGGAATTAGTGTTGCATTTTTATTACATCAAATAAAACCGGACACACATGTATTTTTTTTTGTCAGTGCTCAAAAGAAGAAAATACTTAATCTAATCATCTCTGTTCCTCACTGTTCTGTCGACGTAAAGAACATCATCAATCCATGACACAACATTATAAGCCAAACCTTCTAAAACCCTCGAGTAGCTCTCCAGTACCGCCTTTCCAACATCCTATCCAAAAAAAAAAAAAAAAACACAGAATATTCATCATGTATATATAATTTCGATGTTTCCATCGAGATCTTGAAAAAAAGAAAAAAATTCTAAAAAAGGTCCAATATGGATACTCACTCGGTTATACTGAATCTTGCAGATGTCAAGAGAGGTCTGAGAGAGTTCAGGGTATCTCTGTTTCAGACAAAAGAGTAAGCTTCTGGCTCGAGCCGCGAGAATGTGGTTCTTGTCATTGCCACGTTCAGCATCGCCACCGATATCTTTCATCATGTCCCATGAGGACTTGGAGTGAGCCAGCCCTCCAGTCTTACGCCTCCATGTAACCAGTGAAGCCTCGACTTTGTCGGCGAGCTCAAGGGCCTCGTGCTCCGATGTGATCTTCAAGATGTCGAGAAGTTGGTCCGGATAAAACTTCTCGGCCGTGCACAGTTGCTTGTATATCACGTCTCCTACACTTGCTTTCCCACTCTGTTCGCCAAAAAAAAACAAAAAATACACCTAATTGTTAACAACACTTTCACATTACATGATTTGTATTAACATATAGAGAAAGATATATAATAATGATACCTTTGGGAGAGTGGTGAGGTAAGAATCAGGAATATCCATGTCATTAAGAGTGGAGTCGTTAATGGCCAATGCTGCTTTATGTATCTGATTGGCGCAATCGCGTTTGTGACGCAAATGCTTTCGTTCATCCTCGGATAAACCTTCAGCAGGAACACATGGCACCGGAAGCCACCATTTCTCGTCTTTCCTTTGGACCACCACTTTCCGAAACGTTCCTGAATCTCTACCACCACTGCTCGAGTTCATCGACGAGCTTCCTCTCTCTACGTACCAGAACTCGTTCTCTGTAAAACTATCCAATATTTCCTACAAAAGCCATACCAAACGTGTCGGAAATCTTGGATCTTGATCACCTATCTCTCTGATCCGAATGTTCTGCTTACCATTAGCATGTTATCGAGTTTTCTCAGCGCAGGAAGGTTCATGAGAATATCAGATCTAAGCTTCGTTTCTGTTATCTGGAATTGAAATGACAACAACAAGATTCATGAGGTTTTTAGATCCCGTGCTTCAAAAATCAAGAATAGTTGTGAAATCGTGTCTTTGATTAACTTTTTCTATTATATACCTCAACGTTAGTACCAAGAGATCTTGGAATAACTTCGACAATGTAATCACATATAGACATAAAACAATTCATCTCTCGTTTCCATAAATCCTTCTTCTCTGTACTCAATGGTTGTAATCTCAAACTCTGTCCAAACACAGTCGCTGCAAATACTCCATTTATAAATACTCTTGTTTTCTGATATGCTCTGTATCTTCAAAACAGAGCATGTATATCTAATACGATAAGAAAATTGGACTAAGGAGAAGACGAACCATATAGATTGGTTATGGAGTTAGAGACAGTTACAGCTGTACAAACTCCTTTCCCACTTCCTGACATATCTTCACCAAGCAATAGCTTCGCAAATCTTTCCCTCATCATCTCCAACTCTGCACTCCAAAACCTAATTTAACCGAAACGAAAAACAGAATAAAGGTACAATCTTTCTAATTCACGAACCTGCGTCTTCTGCAGAGTCAATGTCGCTATCTGGATCATTATGATCTTCTCCGTTGACGTTGACGTCATTGACGACGCCATCATTTGGTTCCACGGCGTCTTCGGAGAGATCTTCTTCATGGCCACTCAAGACAACGGCGTTAGTGTTTGACGGCCGGTTATAGAAGCTCTGAACATCGAACCGGTGAGATAATCCGGAGATATCGGAGTATGTTCTCCGGTACGGCGAAGAAACGGAGTTCGTCGGAGTTCCAGAGACAGATACCTCGTTTTGGTCAGAATTCGATGAAGTCTCCATCACGACTCTGTTAATGGTCGATGCTATGTCGAGTTTCAATTTCTTCTCATTCGTTGCTGAACGTGAAGAAGGTTAATACATGGAGGCTCACACACACCTTCACCTTGAGTTGATTATTATTATTGTTTAATATGAAAACTTAATAAAGAATAATTATCTCCGCCGAATTATGACCGTTCGATCTGATTGTGGGGAAGAGACGTGCCTTCCACATTTGGCTAATCAATCTCATAATGAAGTTAAAGCTATATATGCGTTAGGTGTATAATTCCAGGTTATCCCATCATGTCTAACTGATAATACACTATTAACATGACATTTATACGATTATCATGCTAATTTATACCTTCAAATTTGTCAATGTAAAATTCTATAGAATTACTTACGATAGCAACCGCAAGCAAAAAAAAAGAGAATGAACTAAAGAGATAATAGCAAAAAACGGTGAATTTCATGTGTTAGGCTTCAATATTTTTCTTTATTTATCAGACCTAACAAAAAATAGAATCCAAAATTTTATCAAAAGATAAGAAAATTGATTAAAATGTTGGATTTTTGGGGACCCGATTGGTTTTTGGGTAAAATCCTAACTAAACCGAAACCCATATCAAATTTGAAAAAAAATCATTTGGGACTATACTGAAGAACCAAAACTGAACCGAATTACATTTTCGGATTGGTTTTATTCGGGTTCTTCTGAATTGGGTTTTATACCCAAGCGCTAGTCGTATTTATAACCTCCATACCAAAAACTACATATGGCAAACAATTTGTAAGGATCTAATCAAACTAGCCACTTCTAAACTTTAAGATAATCTATTTGCTAACCCTATTGTATTAAATAATATTCCAGTTTTGACTCTATTGTATTAGTTAGAAAAAAATTATTTAGTATATTAATTGTACTAAAATTGTTTTATTGGGGGCAATTGTATATTTATCGCATGTACAATTTGTGAAGAACCTTATATACCGGTATTGGACATTAAATTGTACTGACATTGTTCATCGCATCCGAAGCAAATTGTTCTAAAGGATTAGGAAACCATTACATGTTTAAAGAGGCGTAGGCCTGTTGATGCTGCACATTCTCCACCATGGTTAGACTACAACACTGAAAATTCCTTTACATCTTCTGTTGTTCTAGTGTCATGCCTACTCCAATTGTAACACGATCCATTGCCCTTTGGCGAAGACGGCGAGAGCTGATGAGGATGTTGTCGGTTTGCTCAATATCCTATGATTTCCACTTCCCACCATCGAGTACCTTTCACCTCTGTACAACATGACTGTATTCATTTGATTTAGGTACAATCACATCATCTCTAACTGATAATACACTATTACCATGACATTTATACGATTATCATATGCCCATTTATACCTTTAAATTTGTCAATGTAAAATTCTATAGAATTACTAATATTTAATTTTTCTTCATTAATAAATATTATATACCTTGAGTTACGTTTTTTTCCAGTTTTTTTAGTTTTAAAAGCTTACATTTGGAATTACTACAACATGTTGTTAATTCTTTGGTCAATTTTTTTATTTTATTTTAAAAGTCTTTTGGTCAACTTGTGGACGAACTTGAATGCAAACCGTGATGGTAAAAAAAAAAAGAATGCAAACCCTGAGACCAGAAAGAAGTTTCAGGCCATGGTCTTAAACCGGGAGGCAGTCCACGGCGAATAGAGTAAAACCGCACGCAGTTTGAATGTAAACTACACAATTACTAGACATCACATGATGCGAACTGTGACTGGTCAGGCAGGTCACGTGAGTATCAAGAGCCCTTGTGCGCCGCAGAGAGCATCGAAATCTCGTGATGGTGGTGCAAGCACGTGCCTCCCTTCACACGTTTAATGAGCCCGTCTCCTCTTCCTTCGTTTACGCACAAACAAAGACACACACACATACACACGCCTAATTCGTGCCAAGCCTTAGCTTCACACACACCTCTTTCTCCCAGACACGCTCGAGCCCTACACACGCGTGAAGCTCGTCTTCCAATTCACGCCGCACGCTCTTTCACGCGCCTTCTCCATCTCACGGCCGGATCTGCGCTTTTCACCCGCCGGAGATCCACCGCCTTCTTCTCCACTATCCCTCTTTGTTTCGCTGGTCCCGTGGAGGGAATCAGGCGAGGAAATTGTCGATCGGCGCCGGTTTCGTCTCCTTTCGTTTGGATTTTTTTCTTAGGTGTGCTTAACGACACGCCCAGAGGACTGCAATTTTCCCCACATTGGGACCATTTTTCGAGAGGAGGCTTGTAATTGTCAAGAGAATTGCGCTAGAAACTTACTCACCGAGGTAGATGATATATGATAAGGTACTTAAAATCTGCAATCCCACAAACACTAGCTCTGTTCTTGGTTGTCTCAAAGTTTTCCGATTACTCGTCTGGGAGATTCATAAAAACGCTGATTATGTGAACAGTAGTATTTACTTTTTTTTCTTGTAGGAAGTTTAGACTGAGAGGTTCTGTAAGATAGAAGATCAGTTTCGTTAATACTGGAATATTTCTCTGGCCAATTGCCAGCAAGGAGGAAGGAAAAGAAAAACCATTAGAATATTTTTGCTGCATTGCGAGACGACGACGTACACGTGGAGTATTAAAACCACAGAAGTAAGAAGATGGAACTTTTCACCAAAAGGCAATAACATTCTGGAGCAGCAAAGTTTAAGTTATGGCAACGGATATGCAGAAACTGCTTGCAACTAGTGAAGAGGATGACGACGAAGAAATGGATACGGATGTCAAGGAAGAAGATGACGGAGACCAGCGGAACAGAGGAACACGCGCTGCTTCAGGCAGTAGTAATGACGAGTTCATGTTTCAGCAGTCGTTGCAAGATCAAGTGGACACTCCTGGGGGTGGAGGAAGTCGCAGAAGTAGACCGCTTGAAGAGAAGGAGCGAACCAAGTTGAGAGAGCGCCATCGAAGAGCTATCACTGCAAGGATCCTAGGCGGGTTACGAAGGCACGGGAATTATAATCTGAGAGTCAGAGCTGATATTAACGATGTTATTGCGGCTTTGGCCAGGGAAGCTGGGTGGGTTGTTCTTCCTGATGGGACTACTTTCCCATCCAAATCTCAGGTACTTCTCTGTCCGCTTTTTAGTGTGCTCTATAGTTTAGTTTCTTTTCTATCTTTTAGTATTTGTTTCGTGTGCTTATACTCTCAATCATACTCGTCACAAAATGCTAAATTGTTTTCTTTGGTGGCTTCCTCCTCGGCTTAACTATCTAGGGGACAAAGCCTCCTGGTGGTTCTTCTGTGGTTGCTGGAGGTTCATCAGCTTCCCACATGGCATCACAGCAATCCTCACATCCTGCTATTAGAGGAGTCTCATCCACAGGGCATAGAAGCCCAACGGAGCTCAACTCTTGCCGCATGAAAGGTGTTTTCGCACCCGCGCCATCGCCATATGATTTACCCCCAACTCAATCTCCAGAACTGGTTGGCTGTGCAAATAAGGCTGAGGGGCTTATTGGTTGTTCACTCGGTGTTATCAACTCTAAACAGGTTGCGACTCTGCGCTATTACATAGAAAATATAAACTCGTAACAGTCCAGTCCTTAAGCTAAACATTTTCGAACACTGAAAAACCCCGTAGTATTCTCCCATTTTTTTTTCCTTTGCATGTTTGCCATGTCCTTGCTTATCTGCGCTCAAATCTGATGAGACTCTTCCACATTTCGTATTTGGTAGATTCTTGAGATTCCTCCAAATCTGACAGAGCAAGATTTCTCTGGTACTCCTTATGTTCCGGTTTATGTGATGCTACCAGTAAGCGACTTTAATATTATCCTTTACCTGTGGTTATCTTGAACTTTCTCCTTACTGATTAAATTTCCTTTCCTACGTCAACAGCTTGGGGTTATCAACATGAAGTGTGAATTGGCTGATCGAGATGGACTGCTAAAGCACTTGAGGATATTGAAGTCAATCCATGTAGATGGGGTTAAAGTGGATTGCTGGTGGGGAATAGCTGAGGGTCATTCTCCCCAGGAGTATAATTGGAATGGCTATAGGCAGCTTTTTCAGATAGTCCGTGATCTTAATCTTAAGATACAGGTCTGCCTTTTGCCTGCATGATGCGTTAAGAGACAATTTTCTTAATGAGGTTGCATTAGAATGATTTGTTCCCAAGCTTATTATGCATCTCAGTTTTTTCCTTCTTCCTAGGTTCTGATGTCCTTTCACGAATGTGGAGGCAATGTTGGTGATGATGTTTGCATCCCACTTCCTCATTGGGTGGCAGAAATCGGGCGAACCAATCCTGACATATATTTCACTGATAGAGAGGGAAGACGAAACCCAGAATGCCTTTCTTGGGGTATTGACAAGGAACGTGTATTAAGAGGCCGAACTGCACTTGAGGTATACCCATGACGACAAGCAATCAGTAAACCTTTGTATCGATCAATATATTCTTGAACACCTAATGACTTTCTGCACGCTTCTGCCTTTCATACAACTTTCCTCTATAATAAATTAGATTAAAAGTCACAAGTTTTAGATAGATAAACCCCAATCTAAGCTAAGCGAAATGTTATTATTATTCTTGGTAAAAAAAAGAGAAAAGTTAGCTGCCTAATTGCTGTGTGTCTTTACCCCTGGATATTTGCTTCTTGTAATCACAGATATCTGAAATAACCAACTCAGGAAATACTTTATGGTGTTGGTGGATTGAATGTAGGTGTACTTTGATTACATGAGAAGTTTTCGGATAGAGCTTGCGGAGTTTCTAGATGACGGTGTAGTGTCTATGGTTGAAATTGGACTAGGCCCCTGTGGTGAGCTACGGTATCCTTCTTGTCCCATAAAGCATGGGTGGCGATATCCAGGTGTTGGAGAGTTTCAGGTATCTTTCCTTTCAACAGTTTAATAGTCTTGAGAGATCCAAGCCTCAGAGCTAGCCACATAATGACCATATTTGTTTCACTATTGGTACAGTGTTATGACAAGTATCTGTTGAAGAGCCTGAGAAAGGCAGCAGAATCAAGAGGGCACCTGTTTTGGGCTCGAGGCCCAGATAATGCTGGCTCCTACAACTCCCAACCGCAGGGAACCGGTTTCTTCTGTGATGGAGGTGACTACGATGGTCTCTACGGGAGATTCTTTCTCAAATGGTATTCACAGGTGTTAATAGATCACGCTGACAAAATCCTCTCTCTCGCTAAACTAGTCTTCGACAGTAGCTGCATCGCCGCAAAGGTGATTGATTTTTAGCTTTTGTCTCTAAGCCATCTGAAAACCAATGAATTTGAGGGAAACAGAGTATTTATCGCAAAATTGACTTAAAAACAGCTCCCAGACGTCCACTGGTGGTACAGAACAGCAAGCCATGCCGCTGAGCTAACGGCTGGATTCTACAACCCGAGCAACCGAGATGGTTATGCTGCAATCGCATCTGCACTAAAGAAGCATGGTGCCACTTTGAGTTTTGTATCAGGAGAAGTGCAAATTCTAAACCGTCCCGATGATTTCTCCGGAGCATTAGGAGAACCTGATGCAGTAGCTTGGCAGGTTTTAAAAAAAAAAAAAAAAAGAGAAAAAAATCTTGGAATCGCATATCGTTTTTCTTTTTACGCCTGCTCTATCACCGAAACCTCAGTTCTAAAATTTGAGTGTTTTTTTTTTTTTTTTTTTTTGCAGGTGTTAAACGCAGCGTGGGACACCAATACACCAATTGCTCGAGAGAACTCGCTTCCTTGCCATGATAGAGTTGGGTATAACAAAATGTTAGAAAGCGTTAAGTTTCCGAACGATCCAGATAGAAGGCGTTTGTCATCATTTGCCTATAGTAGGCTCATCCCAGCTCTTATGGAAGGACATAACATTGTCGAATTCGAGCGGTTTGTCAAAAAATTGCATGGTCAGTAAAATAAATCCCGGTCCCATCATCCATCATCAATCCTTGATTTCCGTGTTTCAGATTTCTCAAGTTGTAATTTCCTTCTTTCTCTGGTACAGGGGAAGCTGTAATAGATCATCATCAACAGGTTTAGAGTTTAGTTGTCCCAAAAAGAACAAGAAAAAAAAAAGATCAGCTGAAAAGGTTCACTGTTAATGTTGTTAATTCTAGTAGTTTAGCATCATTTCTGTATATTTTTATCATTAAAAAATTTAGAGAGAAAGAAAAGAGAGAGAGAGAGAGAGAGAGAGAGAGAGAGAGAGAGAGAGAGAGAGAGGGATCACTAAAAGCCTCATGTTGGGCTTTGGCTGAACCATCTGATTTGTGAGCCATAATACTTAATACTTATGTATCCCCTATTTATTACTTCCACATTGTGGAGATTATCATCATTAATTAATGATGGCGGCAAGCATTTCAATGTTTGGTTCATTCTGTTTTAGAAAAGTACTTATTCAACTAAATGATTCAGTTTGATTTTTGCATAAAAAGTAACGCGCAGTAAGTTAGGCATCACATACTACTCTCTGTTTACGTGTATACGTGTTCTACATTAATAATAGCAAATCTAAGTTAGGCATCACATACTAACTCTCTGTTTATATCACATCACATATGACAACGCAGAGTAGATTGTCATTATATTACTTCAAGATTTATGCCAACCATTGGATGAGTGTTTAATTTCATGCAACCTTTTCTTTGCGATGATCCGATTGCGTATGACCTCCTCGGATTCAACAGCTTCATCAATGTTACTAAGCACCATAGCACATAGCTCGTCTAAAGCTAGCATAGAAAATGGCTCCTCTATAAGAACACCCACCTGTAGACATTTCAAACAAAAGTTAAAGAGTGAGATATAACGAGGCCAAGACAAAACAGTGGATATATAAATAATGCTGCAATTGTGAAGGAGAAAGGAGTTGGGCACTTCTTCAATGCAGAAGAGAGATGCAGCGCTGATGAAAGTAGCAGGAACAACATTCCAGTGGCAATCATCCCAGAGAATAATAGGGAGTGTAAGATGCCATAAGACTAAGAACCTTGACGTTAGTCGTGTGTAAGATAGTGGGATCGGGATACCCATTAGTTGTTCACACACACTGATTCCTTCCTGTAATTGCAGCATCTTTGATTCCTGTAAAGTAGATATATATCTTAACTTGAGCACCAGACACTGTGTTCTTCATATCTAAATTCTATGGAACCAGAATCGGTGATTTGGAGATGACACAGTGTAGAAAAAAAAAAAGAAAAAATACCAACATATCGATCTTTGTACTGTCCAGTTTCAGCAGCTGAAGGCTTTGAGAGATGAATTGGATGAGGCAACGTGGACGATGCTTTGATTCAAGTATCAAAGACAGATCATCTGCTTCTATCACATTCCGGAGATCATCAGCGATATCTGAACCATAAATCACATGACACTACACATGAAAGAAGAAAACAAATTAAAATTGTAAGCAATCAATCATTAATCTCCGTCTACCTAACCCAAGCTAAGAGCATCACAATCCACAAGAGTAAGAACTAGGACAGACCTTAAGGGCCACAGGGAAAGCAGCAATATAACGCAAAAGAGTATCTCTGATTATCAATTCATCACCGGAGCCATGAACGGAAGAAACGACTTGCCTAGCTAAATCATTGGTTCCAGTTATGATCTTAACCCATGCTTTCCTTCCTTGTTCAAACCTTGAATAAGAAGCCTCGGTGCGAAACACCAGAAGCAGAGCTAAGGCCGGAGCCGTCAGCTGATACGGAAGAGGAGAAGCTCGAAGGACGGGGAAGAAATTAGGCAACCAGTCTAAACCCACGGCGGAGTTGTAGCCGGCGATCAGGATCGCGACGGTGGTGAAGAAGAAGACAGGGGGAATCAGAGACAATATAACTCGTGAGGAGGGGCTCGAGGATACGTGACGCAGATGGCGGAGTGAGCTTCTGTGCCTGACCCACTTCTCGTGTGTGTAGAGAGAGCGTTTCTGCTGCATCCGTCTCTCTTTGATGCCGTCCGACCAGTTCGGAACTGCTTTGAGCAGCGAAATGAGCTTCTCGGATAGATTTATCGGAGGCGAATCGTCGAATTTGGGACCGGAGGAGATGCAGTAAGGATTGAAATGGAGGGATTTGCGAGCTCTGGCGGAGATCCCGGGGCATAATCGTGGTTTGAGGAGGGCTCGCTGGGTAAAGTTAGAGGAAAAAGATAAGTTCATGGATTGATACATTTGGCGGGAAAATCGAGGTTTAGGGCTTTAGGTGGAGACGACGATGACGAGGAAGAAGAAAGGAGAAGATCGAGAAAACAAAAAGACGCATGCAAAATTGCAGAGTGTAAAGTGTGAGAGAAGCGATTTGGAGAAAGGTCGTTGGAACAGTTTGTGCGAAGCTTGAAAACGACAGCGTTCTAACTTCTCTCAGCCTTTTGTTTCAGATTAATGGGCTTATACTGTGCTTTTTGGGCCTCAATGAGATACATCTTATCTCCAAGCCCATAAAAGTTCGGACCCGACGTCGTTTGTTGATATACTCGTTCAGTCTTTGTTGTAATTTAGGGTTTATACGGAACGCGCATCTGCTTCGAACAAGCAAAGTTGAGAGATTATCTTTGGGGTGAATTGGAAGGGGGAAATAATGTCGAAGAAGAACAATTTAGCCAAGAGAAAGAAGCAACACGAGTACAATCTTCAAAGTACGTTTCTTTAAATCTTTTAAACGATCAGTACAATACGCATTTGTGTATACGAAATTAAATTTTTTTTTTCCCGATTTGCAGAAGAGAAAGAAATACAGGATAAGAAGATCAAGAAGCTTCAAACGAACAAGAACAAGATGAAAGTAAGCACCTTTTCTGTCCTGTATCTCGTAATTTTACTGATCTTCAGTTCATATAAATATGTGTTGAGCAAGTAGGAATCCGATTATACTGCAAGATAATGATATCGTCTGATACACTCTCTCTAATGAATTATTTTCTTTCATGAAATGATCTGATAGATTTGAATTTGCTTTAACTCAGTTGATTGATGTTCTTTTTGAGAAGATTGTTGGGGACTAATTATAGAAACGACTGTTGATTGAATCTTCTTTAGTAGAACATTTGACTAATTTGTCAGATAATTTTGAATCTTTTCTGAGGTTTAGAGTAGCTTATGATATCTGTGGTCGGTTGTTTTTGTTGTCGAAGGTTGATGGTAGTGGGAAGAAGAAGAAAGGTGGATTTTTTGTTGGCAAGAAGAAATTGAAGACAAAGCTCACTCCAGCCGCTAAAGCTAAAGCGGCTCAGGCAATGGAGCTAGACAAATGATAAGGAGCCTCATTTATTTTCACTTGTATGTAAACTCTGTTCTTCATTGATCTTTGTCATTTACTTTGAGGGAATCGGTTTGAAGTAGCTATCTTCCAATTTTCCACCAAATGTGGTTATCTACGGTTTGAAGTAGCTATCTTCCAATTTTCCACCAAATGTGGTTATCTCGCACCATGATTGCTTCTTCGTCTTTGTAGGTTACAACTTTTATGTATCACTCTCTGGCTTTTGAGGTCAAGATTTGTGCTTTCATTACTGATCGGGTCATTGAGGAATTAGGCGATTAATCTGTTTTGATCGTGTTATACTCTTCTGAGATGTATATTGTTGCTTCTAAAGTTCAAATTTATCATTGCAATAGATTCTGATTTCTCAGGGTCAAAGACTATCATTCATAGTAGATAATCAGAACAAAGATCTTTTCTGCTTTATTACACTGCCACTTAACGTGGTCATTAAAACACTTACAAAAAACAAATAATCATATTGTCATAATCAAGGTCTAAAATAAACAGTCTCAAAGATTACATGGTACAATAAAAGTTGGGATTCTAATAGGAAAAAATCTCTCAAATTTGGCTTTTAAGAGGTTATATCATCCCCATCAATATGGGGTCCTTGTGAGATATTTTAGACATGTCTTTCTTCTCAGCCTCTCGTCAAAGTTGCTCTCAAAGTGGAAGCCAGTGGGTAACTCTCTGACCAGAAAGGCCTATCCTTTCTTCACGCTCCACTCTACACTCTCCGGCGCGTGTACTTCAGCCTATCCACAGATTCCTCTGTTTCAAGACCAATCAGTCTATTATCTAGATAACCAACTTTGTAGATTTTGTTTGCTTTGAAGAAACAAGAGGGACGTGTTGCTGCGAGCGTTTGATACACGCGCCATCGCAAGAGTGTGGGCATAGGGATTATGAGCCGCACACAGGATATGCCTAGTTGCTATATAGAGCTACAGTCAAAGTCAGTTATTCATTAGGATTTTGAATTTCCATGACATATTTCAGAAAATTAAAATAAAAAGGATCTCATTGTTATCCTCACAGTAAATGCTTTTGCTTGAGGGTCTGTTAGAGGTTGTTTGTTTGTTTCTGTTTTCCTCTGTCACCCAGAAAAAGGAAAAAAAAAAAAGCACACGCAGAATAGAGAGAGAGAGAGATAACCCTAGAACCGAAATCAATCTAAGCCATTGTTGATAGAAGAGAAAGCTTTTGCTTGCTTGCTTATGAGTGGAAGAATGAAAGAGAGAAGACAAGTAAGCTGAGAAGTTGTTTAGCTTTGCATGTTCCCTTCTCCTCAAGTTTTATATCTTCTTAAAGTCTCCACCTTTGATTCTGTTTTTCTTCTTATCCATTTATCCTCTCTCTCCCTCTCCTCATAATTCTAGCCACAAGGGTTTCACTCCTTCTCTAGAAAGAAAGCACTTCAAAATCTAAGACTCTTTTGTCTTCAGCTGTAAATGCAAATGGATCGAAGAGATGCAATGGGTATAACCGGGTCGGGTTCTTACTATATCCAAAGAGGGTTATCCGGATCGGGTCCTCCAACGTTTCACGGATCATCACAGCAACAAGGGATTCGTCACTTACCTAATCCAAACTCTCCATTCGGGTCAGGCCCCACCGGGTTCGGTTCTCCTCCTTTACACGGCGATCCTTCTCCGACAGCGACAGCAACAGCAACTGGAGCCGGAGCTGTTCCCCATCATATCGGCGTTAATATGATGGCTGCTCCTCCTCCGACGAGTGAAACTCCGATGAAACGTAAGAGAGGTCGACCTAGAAAATACGGACAAGGACCAGACGGTTCTGTTTCTTTAGCATTGTCTTCTTCCTCTGCTTCGACCATTACTCCCAACAACTCTAACAAACGTGGCCGTGGTCGACCTCCGGGCTCCGGCAAGAAACAGAGAATGGCTTCCATTGGTAAACAAACTATCTCTGAAACTTGTCATCTTGAGGAAAAAGCTCCATTTTTTATTGTCGCTAGTAGATCAAACAGCCCAAAATTTGTTTATTGTTCACTTGAGAATAAATCTAATTGTTTATTCCTGATGTGTGGGAAAAGCTTAAAACTTTTCTAAAATGGAGCCATTTTGTTCTGTCTATTTAATATGTTGCTTAAATATAATTGGAATATCAGGGAAAAGCTTAAATATGTTCCTAAAATATAGTGGATTGTTTGTTGTCTTTATACGTATTATGTTGCTTAAATGTATTGATTCCATGAGCCTTTTTCTTCTTTGTTTTTGTTTTTTTGGATTGGTTAGGTGAATTGATGCCTTCATCTTCTGGAATGAGCTTCACGCCACACGTTATCGCTGTTTCGATAGGAGAGGTATGTTGAAACATTATTACAGAGCTTTCCTGAAATGTTATTTTTGCTGTGTTTGCTGAAAAGTTTTGAAAGCAGGATATTGCATCAAAGGTTATATCTTTCTCTCAACAAGGGCCAAGAGCGATTTGCGTCTTATCGGCAAGCGGCGCAGTCTCTACTGCAACTCTTATTCAACCATCATCATCCCCTGGAGCCATTCAGTACGAGGTTAAATTTGAATTTTCTCACTACAGGATAAGACAATGTTCGTTATCTCTCTGTTTTCATGTAACATATGTTTTTGTTTAATTTCCAGGGCCGGTTTGAAATCCTAGCCTTATCAATATCTTATATAGTTGCAACTGATGGAAGTTTCCGTAATCGAACTGGAAACTTATCAGTTTCGCTCGCTAGTCCCGATGGGCGTGTGATTGGCGGTGCCATTGGAGGGCCTTTAATAGCAGCAAGTCCTGTTCAGGTCGGTTTAGATATATTTCTTGAGCTCTGCGTTGTTTAAAGTCTGAATTCATGGGATTGAATACAGATTCTTGGTCATATCAGGTTATTGTAGGGAGCTTTATCTGGTCAGCTCCAAAGATCAAGAACAAGAAACGAGAAGAAGAAGCTTCTGAAATTGTTCAAGACACCAATGATCATCAAGCTCTAGACAACAATAAGAACAACACGGTTTCGCCTGTTCCTCAGCAACCTCCAAGCCAAAACCTGATATGGTCAACAGGTTCACGGCAAATGGATATGCGTCATCATGCTCATGCTCATGCTGATATTGATCTAATGCGCGGTTGATGATGATGATGACGATGATAGCGACAACTCTGTGTATATAAGGCATGGAATCAATCTAGGAAGAAGAAGAAGAAGAAGAAGAAGAAGAAGAAGAAGAAGAAGAAGAAGAAGAAGAAGAAGAAGAAGAAGAAGAAGAAGAAGGAGAAGGAACATAAGCTAACCTCTGAACAAAGTATGTTGAAATGTTAGGTTCAAAGAATGACTTTTATTTAGTGTACCTCTCAAATCTCTCTAGCTTATTTGGTTTTGTGACTCTGAAGATTTGCAGAGTTTCTTGATTTCTTTATCTCAAAATTTGTATGCTTGGATTTTTTGATCTACAGCATCGTTTGAAATCGTTGACTGAAAGTCTCCGGTCCAAGTTCACCGTACCGGAGACATCTTATACTGGAATTTGGGGGCATTGAGAGAATATTGTCAGATGGATCAAATTGTGAATTATGTTTAAAAGTAAATCTTAAACACCAAGTGATGTTTTGAATATTTCTTTTTGTATAGATAGCCAATAGCCATCATCGAGTAATGTTGATATGTTTCTTCTTTTGTTCCTCCCAGTACTCATTAGTCCACTTCTCAACTTCCTTCTCAACACTTTTTTTCTTCTCTAGAAACTTCTTGAGCTCATCTTCTTCAAATGGTGGAGGCATCTCACAAGCGCCCTTAACGCTCGGAAACATAATCAATGAGTCGCCCATACATTGTCTCACTCGACCTCCGTTGATCGGACACGCCATTATCTCCGAACACACTTCCTTGGCTCCTTCAGGCACTTGTACATTCATGTTCATCAACTTCCCATAGCTTTGCAATAGATACAACATGTAGTCATACACGTACTTCATTTGTAGATTCTTAAGTACATACTCACTCCCATTTCTCCCTATAGTTTTCGCCTGTAAAATTAAGTGAAGATAAGATCAAATACCAATAATCATCACCACTCTATATTCCATTGAAACAGTTTCTCTTTAATTCGGATATTTTTGTTTGAAGTTTCTTTATATATAAATATTTTACCTTTTTGGTATTGTTGTTGCCCCAATGGACGGCAAAGATGATGTCACTACATTTTTCACGAGGTCTAATAGGCCAATAATGTTCCATTGGAACTAAGCTTCTAGTGAAGAAGTCAAAGTAAAATGGCTTTATAAGAAGAGTCATACTGTCACAAGCTAATATATACTTTTCGCTCACCGACCAAGCCCTTCCTTCTACGTAAATCTTGTACCTTTCATTTATCCAAAACAAATCATTTGTATATTAAATTTTTTTTTATAATTCATCCCTTAATTAAAATTTATTTCTAAAAACCTGTGGGTGCATTGATCTTCTAGGTTTGAAGTCCTAAACCCAATCCTGCCCTCTCTCCTCCAATTCTGCAAGTACATTTTCATATCATCAATTCATCATCGATCATCATCATAAAAGAAATGTCAATTAAAGATATATATACCTGATGATAGAGATGAACCATGGGATCATGACATTTCATGAGGTCTCTTCTGAGCTTGGCAACTCCAGGATTCCCTTTCCAATATGCGTAAGGTTTTCTCTCTTCCCACTTCACCTTCTTAGCCCCTTCACTTATTGCCTCCGATAATTTGTTCCACTCCTTTACGTTAATCTCCGGCCTAACCATATGCATATTTAGGCTGTGAGCATCAATATCGAACCAAATTTCTATGTGTGTGATTTGTATGGAACGAGAAGTTGATTATTTACCATCCCCAGAAGCTCCAATCGGGGAAGACAATGTCGAAAGCACCGGCATGGCCACAGTAATGGAAGAGTGGAGGAGGTGGCCACGTCACATTGACTCCTGGTCTTGGCCTATAGTCTCTTCTCCATATTTCAGGAAAGTCATGGCACAAGAAGAGAAGCTCAAGATCAGGTACTTGGCCAGGATACATCCTTAGAAGCTGAACTATTCCCCATATTGTGAAAACATCTCTTGTCTGAAATGATTTCATGTATTGATGCACATACACTCTTCCTCCTTTTATAATTAGCCTGAAGTGTGCTTTATCACTCGCTCTCTCTAGCGTCTCTCGAGTGATTCCTGTCTCACGCCATGGTTCAAGATCCTTGTGGATCCACCTGAAGTAATCTGGACAAGTCTCTGGATCGTCCTTAGGGTCCGCTTTCTCCGGGTAGCTTGCAGGACACGTTTGTTTTGTTATGTTCTTGTATAGAGAGCATTGCAATGTGTAGTTGAGTGGTGGAGTGAGTGTGTTCTTGGGAATATTGACGTTGGTGTTTCTTGAGAATATTGGTGTCACTTTGATTCTACTTCCACTCAATAAAAACTATAAAAAGAAAATAACACACTTTTTGAGCCAAAACCATTTGCGTAACTGTAAGACTAAATAATGTTTAGATTATGATAACTAATCAAGTGTATAAGTACCAAATCCATCCAGCCTAGAGAAGCACCAAGGAGGATGATGAAGAAGACGAAAATGAAGATAGATGTGGTGATCCATGACTTGGTAAGTTTATAACTTACTCTCGAGATTGAGTTATTATGTTGTCTTTGAGGATCAACCACGTGAAGACTCATAGATATTATATGTTAAATTAACAAGAAAACAAAGAGCAAGAGAGAGATATATATATAGAGAAACAGACCTCACTTGTTGCTATGAGCAAGTGTAATGAACAATGATCTCTTTTAATTATGGTATATTAGAAGGAAAAGAGGATTACTTATATTGATTAATTTGTATCTAAGAATTGTATGTTGGACGTTGACTCATATTTTTGGGAAGATTATATAAAGATGTCAGCTATAATTACGGTTTTATTGAGATCCGAAGCAACCTCCTATAATAAGTTATTTAAAACTCTCTATGATCCGTGCGAGACTAATTTTGTATTATGAAGGGGAGATACCTAGTTAATATTTGTTCGTTAAAAAAAACAAATCAGTATATCTCTTTCGCATTATTATTTATGGTACAAGTATTTTTCTTACAAGTTATGGATAGTACTGCTGAGAAGCAATATTATTGTGCGTACATGGATTATGGGATAATGGATGAATGATGGTAATGGTTTAGTAAATTATTTTAAGGTGCAAATTTGGTAATTAAGTCTTTTAAGAAAAATTATAAGTCAAATGTTTTTGTTCGAATATATTTTGATGGATACACTCTTTTAGAATGTTTAAAGTTAATTAGGTAATCTCTCTAAATAAATAATTCAATGCAAATACTACACTAGTACTATATAGTATTAGCTATTTTGTCGTCATTGATTAATTTAATTCAAAGGGAGGGCAACGTCGCCTGTATATGTAATATTTAACTAGGCGAATTTACAAACTATTTTCTAAGTGTGTGTATGACTGGTGCTAATATTTTATGTCTGTCGCGTGACTAACGTGTAGGAAACCGTATATATAAAATCTGACGATTCTTTAGATTAGGTTGAGATAGCTTATTTTAATCAAATCAGTTGAAGATTAAGAAATAATACAACTAGTTCTCTCTCAGCAATTGATCAACAACTCTAATGTTTATGGTTTTAATTACTTACCAAACTTATCAATAGCTTGTAAGGTTTCATCATTTTATGTTAATACACTTACTAATTTAGGAGCTTTATACAACTCATGGTTGCATTACATCAATTGCTGGAACCATTACAAACTAAAAGATGGTTTTAAGATCTAGTAATTAAAATATATCTAACTTTTTTTGCTAATTTTTTTTTAAAAAAAAATACAGTTTGAATTGACGAAAAAAATTGTTGTTTATTTTAAAAATTTGGAATTATTTTTCTATATATAATGAACCTTTTAAAGTATCCATGCATAAATCAAGAAGATATCAAAATATATTGTATGTGTTGTAAACTTGTAGTGAATTAATATCCGCTATGTAAAAGAGAAAACGCTGTTTGTATAATTTGAACATACATCTTAACACATATTGCTAATTTCAATATGAATACAAATCCAACTATCCAAAAAAAAAAAACAAAAGCCTCTTTGTGTTTTGGTCAAGGCTTCTTGCCGTTGGTCAAATCACGAAAGTATTGGTCTTCCCAAAACTCAACCTGGCGAGTCAAATTGGCTTTTCTCTCAAGAACCTCTCTTAACTCCAGAGGGTTATAAGGAAGAGGCATCTCACAAGGAGACACTTCACTAGGAAACATCACCATCGACTCCGCCATGAAATCTCTCCACCGTCCCGTCGCCGGACATCCCATACTATCCGGCGTGATCTCCGTCGCTCCCCAAGGAATCTCCGGCTTAAACTTCAAAAGATTGGCATACTCATTCATCAAATGGAACATGTAATCATACACATATTCCATTTTCACCTCCTCTCTTATAAATCTACTCCCTTCTTCCCCTATCTTACGCGCCTGCCAGTTAAATAATCAACGGGTTAATATGTAATAAAGCATAATAAATCACAAGAAAGGGGTTCTCTAAACGTGTAATAAATATACAAACCTGATCTAAATGGGTGTTACCCCAATGTACGGCGTATTTGAGGGAAGTACACTTAGACTTGTCTCTGATTGGCCAGTAATGTTGTAATGGCATCATTCCTCGTATGTAAAAATCATAGAACTTAGGTCTCACGTATAATGTCATCGAGTCACATGCCATTATATATTTCTCGCTCACTGACCATGCCCATCCTTCTATATAAATCTTGTACCTATTAATTCCAACATTTCCCAAAATTCAAAATTCAATATTCTCAAAGATTACCCCCCAAAACCAAGTAAATAAAAGGATGGCTAATAAGTGTTAATATGTATATAACGACCTGTGGGTGCATTGGTTCTCTAGGTTTGAGTTCTTGAATCCTTCTCTGGATTCTCTAACCCAGTCCTTCAACACAAAAAAAAAAAAAAAGAATAAAAGATTATATAAGCAGTTTACCAAATTTAAAATGAATTTAGGGAAGTGATGAGATTCCGCGGAACATTACTTGGATGTAGAGACGAGTGTTCCAATCTTCTTGTGCTGAGACATTACATCTAAGAAGATCTCTTCTAGTGGGGGCCACATGAGGATTACCTCTCCAATAAGCATACGCCACGCGGTCTTTCCATTGCGTCATCTTGCTCCCATCTTCTATCGCCACCAGCGATTTAGCCCAAGGTTTTATATTAGCCTCAGCCCTAGCCCAATAAACAATATAAAGCCTAGTTAGTTAATTGGGCTCATTTTAAGCCCACTAAATGAAGAGATTTTTGGGTACCAGCCCCAAAAGGACCAATCAGGGAAGACGATATCCAAGCTGGCGTCATCAGAGCAGTAACGGAATAACGGAGGTGGGGCCGGGTGTTGTCGACCTTTAAAGTCTTTAGATCGGACGGTTGGTCTATCATCCGCGTCAAACATGAGTTCGAGATCGGGCAATCTCCCTGGGTACCACCGTAGCAACTGTACGATGCCCCACAGAGTAAAAACGTCTCTAGTCTGGATAGATTTTCTGTACTTCTTAACGTAGACTTTCCCGTCGAGGATTATGACCCTGAAATGCGCCGTCCTCCTTGCTTTCTCTAGCATCCCTCTCGTTATCCCTGTCTCTCTCCATGGCCGTAGATCCTCGTGGATCCAACGGAAATAAGAAGGACACGTGGATGGTCTTGAATGGTTGCTTCTGGGATTATTGTTGTTTCTCCATGTGCTGCCATCTTCGGAAATTGGAATTTGCTGTTTTTGCTGTTGTGTCTGGTTCTGTACGGCATCGCATTGGTCAGGGAATTTATGCTTCGTGATTGGTGAATTTCTAGTTGTTGTTGTTGTTGTTACTTGCTTCAGACCTGCAAGAGTTGTCTGAAGTAGAAGACGAAGAGATCTGAATTATATATAACACTCTCAAGTTCACAAATTTACTAAACTTGAAGAAGATATTTTTTTATATATAAAAATTGAGGTGAGGTGTTTTAGATTCGAACTCACGAGATCGAAACAACCGAGTAAGTCTAAGAGACCAGCAGATATGAAGAGAGAAGATGCGACGAACAGAGTAGCTTTTGCGATGCGTTTTCCTGTATGCGAAGCCGTTTTGATACGAAGATAATTACCATGCCCGTTGGTTTGAGGATCGTTGTTGTTGTTCCTCTTCATGCTTTTCCGTTGAACCATGAATCTATCTTCTGCTCACCTTTTAATTATATACATACACAAACATTCAACACAAGAGAAGATAACGAGATTCGGGCGATATTATTATACGTTACCGAAGCGAGAAGAAGCACCAAAGCTTTGATTTTGATTTTCGATTTGTGCTTTTCCACGAGGATTTGAATCTTGTTTCACGTTTTCTTCAACACTAACCACAAGTTCACATCTTTTGTGTTAATAAGTTCATATTTTTGTGTGTGAATGTTGTTTACTTTTTCTGTGTTTCCAAGGGTTAATGATTTTTTTGAATATATAAGACATAATATAATACTAGTTGGAGCATCCATTTTCCTATGATCCTATCACATATAGACAGACTCGTTTATTTCCTTTTCGGTTTCCCAAATAATAATTTCTTGTAATCGTTGAAAGTCTAGGAAAATCTAAGATCTTTGAAGTTATAAGACAGAAAATCTTAAATCTGTTGATTAAAACTAAAGTATTTACGGGCGCAATTAGTTAAAACCCTCTTTGAGAAAGTTTGTTATAATTGAATAAGAATCCCAACTCAGAAAGAAAGAAAGTTAAACTTTAGCCACAAAATAAAAGTTCAGTGACATCACAGACCATAGTCACCATATTCGACCACTCATATACAAAGACAGAATAAATTAATCGTTAAATAATTCCATGTTGTATGCTTTATAATAATCATTGGAAAAATAATAATAATCATACGTTACAGACTTGTATACATCTTTCCCAGGCTGTTCAAATCTATGTTGACTACCCTTTAATCTTCTTAATCCTGTTCTATATTTTACTTATTGCTAAAAAATATTACAGCGTCCTTTAAATTGAACTATTTGGGCCGTAAAAATGCACAAAGGCCCAATAATTACAAAACGAGTAGTCTCCATCTCGTCTCAGCCAGAAGGTCTGACTCGAACACTCTGTTGAACAGGTTTTTTAGAAAAATTATTGGGTTCACCCCTAGGGATGAATTATTCATTCATCCCTCTCATTTTAGCCAATGAAAATCTACCATATAATAAAATCACTTAAAGTAACTTACCAAAATAACACATTTTAAATATATTTTTTTAAATAAGAAAAAACTAAAACCTAATTTGGAAATATTGAACCCAAACATAATATTAAAGTTTATGTAGAATTATTTTTAATAAAAACATATTTTACATAATTATTTGTTTATTTTCGAAATTTAAAAATAAAAAAAAACTAAACCCTAAATTAAAAATAGTGAACCCAAACATAATATTAAATTATCTTTTTAATAGAAAAAACTAAATTCTAATTTAAAAATAGTGAATCCAAGCATAATATTGAAATTTATGTAGAACTAGTTTTAATAAAAAAAAATATTTTTACATAATTATTTTTGGAATTTTTGGAATTTTAAATAAAGAAAAACTAAAATCTAAATTGGAAATAGTGAACCCAAGTATAATATCAAATTTAATATATATATATTTTTAATTTCCGTCAAGCCCACGCGCAACTTAACCGGAACGTTTTGTACACGCGACGTGCCAAAATGAGCCGTGGGGTCCAACAAAGACATTTCCCTTTGTATCTATCTCCAGCGTGTCCGCTTTATAAAGCTCCACGAAACCTTTTGGTCGACCAGACTATTTTTCAATAAACAAATACATTCTTTTTTTTTCGTAATCAAATACATTCTATTATTGAACATCGACAAATACATTCTATTTAGAAACATATACACTATACACAGACGTCACGTACTATACTCTTTGATTTTAGGGATTTTATCATAGGTTGTCGACATTTAAAAAGAATTTATCTTAGATTTTCACTTTCTTATCTTACTTCCAATTCCCTTAATTAAATAAATCATTAGTAGGTCAGATAAACCTAATATAATAATAAACCCAAACATAATATTAAATTATCTTTTTAATAGATAAATTCTAATTTAAAAATAGTGAACCCAAGCATAATATTGAAATTTATGTAGAATTAGTTTTGATAAAAAAAAATATTTTTACATAATTATTTTTGGAATTTTTGGAATTTTAAATAAAGAAAAACTAAAATCTAAATTGGAAATAGTGAATCCAAGCATAATATCAAATTTAATATATATATATTTTTAATATATATATAAATAATTATTTATTTTATTTTTGGAATTTTAAACCTTAATCTCTAAATTCTAATTTTTAAATCCTAAATTCTAATTTTTATACTCTAAATTATAATCTATAAACTTTTAAAAAATTAAAATAAAAACTAAACCCTAAATTATAATCTTTATATATATATTATTTATTATATATATTATCAAAATATTTGATTGAGTATTTAATATTTTAATTTTTTTTTTTTATTTTTTTTTTAAAATAATATTATATTTCAGATTTTAATTAGTTTAAATGAAATGAGGTGAATGAATGAATTCACCCGCTACGAGTGAACCAAAGAATTTTTCGGTTTGTTACTCTAAAGTCTAAAGTTTTTAATCTAAAACGAGCAAAGTCATTAATAAGGGCCCATATATCACATGCCTAAACCGGTTTAATTTCCGTCAAGCCCACGCGCAACTTAACCGGAACGTTTTGTACACGCGACGTGCCAAAATGAGCCGTGGGGTCCAACAAAGACATTTCCCTTTGTATCTATCTCCAGCGTGTCCGCTTTATAAAGCTCCACGAAACCTTTTGGTCGACCAGACTATTTTTCAATAAACAAATACATTCTTTTTTTTTCGTAGTCAAATACATTCTATTATTGAACATCGACAAATACATTCTATTTTAGAAACATATACACTATACACAGACGTCACGTACTATACTCTTTGATTTTAGGGATTTTATCATAGGTTGTCGACATTTAAAAAGAATTTATCTTAGGTTTTCACTTTCTTATCTTACTTCCAATTCCCTTAATTAAATAAATCATTAGTAGGTCAGATAAACCTAATATAATAATATAGATCGGTTTAGTGTAATTTTGAGTTGAGATTTTAATTTGATTCAGTCTATTAGCAAAACGATGGCATTTTTTTCTACTAAGTGACTTGACGTGGCAGAATTGAACTACTTTACCTGTCGGCAGTGAGGTGTTTAATCACATGTATCGCATCCAATGCGTAAGCGAGCTTACAGTCGTAGGATCACATGGTACCATAATCAACGGTGAAGGGAAACAAGTGTCTCACGCATATTAAACGCGGGGAGTACGCTCCACCGGTGTAAGCTAACGGAGGATATAAAACCTCTTTCTTCTCATTGGTTCATATAGTCTGCATTTTATCCAAATTTTGTTTTGTTTTATTTTCTGTTTTACCGAAGGAAAAAAAAAAGAAACCATTTTTTTTGTTCTTCTTTGGCTGAGCTGAGCGGCAATGGCGGAGGAGCAAAAGACGACTAAGGTTGACGTAGAATCTCCGGCGGTTTTAGCTCCGGCGAAGGAACCAACTCCTGCTCCGGTGGAAGCTTCTAAAGACGTGGCGGAGGAGAAAATTCATACTCCACCACCTCCTGTCGAGTCCAAAGCTCTTGCCGTTGTCGAAAGTAAGCTCTCTCTATTCACAACACGTTCTGTGTTGTGTGTATGTGATAATCTTCTTCTTATGAGGATTCATTCGATGTTTTTTATGAATTAGAGATGTATTTAACAAAATTGAATATGTCTCCAAAATCTCACAAATTAGCCCCAGAATTCCATCTCAAAAAAATCCATATTGCTATTAGGATTTCACAGCATTTATTTTTTTTACACCAAGAGAATTAGGTTCTGAAAGAAAGATAATATATTACTATTTAGAATATGATTAATTTCTATTGCTACTAAGGTAGGTAACTAATCATAAAATAATCTGTCTTGTAAATTTTGTGTTGTGAAAAAGTAAATGGAATCATGGCAATTAGTTGTGGACAGCTATGAATTAGTAAAGTGGTTAACTTTCTTGATTTTCATACATGATTAGTTCCTTTAAAGTAGCCTAACTCTGGTACATTTAAGAGTTTTAAAATCCAGTCGTATTAGTTCCTTTTTAAAGGTGCTACTATCTTGACATGAGTTAGAGTGGCCCAAAGGTCGAATTCTCTATGTCACCGAGACCCATGGAATAAGTTCGAACCATCAGTTTAATGTGGTATAACACCACTTGACTAAGATGACCAAAAAAAGAGAAGAAAAAAGTTGCTAACTATCTTTAATTAAAGTTAAAACACTTGAACTCTGATGTTGTCTTCTGCTCTGTTCTTTAGTAAAACTTCTATAACAAAACAAATTTTGCAGTGAATCGAGTGTGATAATCGATGAACTTATATATTTTATTAACTGTTTAGAGCCTTGAAGCGCTATCTTTTTACATTGTCAATTTGCGTCTACATTAACAACGTGTTATACTTAACAAGTGACCTTCTTGCAGAACCCATTGAGGAGCATACACCGAAGAAAAGCTCATCTGGCTCGGCCGATAGAGGTGAGCTAAACAACTATTTGTTTTTGTTTTCTACTTTCTGGCCACCTAAGTTCCATAACTGACATCAAATGTTATGTGTTTGGTTTTGGTCAGATGTGATACTTGCGGACTTGGAAAAGGAGAAAAAAACATCATTCATCAAAGCATGGGAAGAGAGTGAGAAGTCAAAGGCTGAGAACAAGTAAACTTTGTTTTATTCTTTTGACCTTCGCACCCAAAGATTACTATTTGTGCGAGTTGATCATCAGCTAATGATCTTGAAATGGTAATAATGGACAGGGCACAAAAGAAGATCTCTGATGTGCTCGCTTGGGAGAACAGCAAGAAAGCAGCCACTGAAGCCCAGCTCAGGAAGATTGAAGAAAAATTAGAGAAGAAAAAGGCAGAGTATGGTGAGAAAATGAAGAACAAAGTGGCTGCGATTCACAAGCTAGCAGAAGAGAAGAGAGCAATGGTTGAAGCTAAAAGAGGAGAGGAGCTTCTTAAAGCTGAAGAAATGGCTGCTAAGTATAGAGCCACTGGTATCGTACCAAAGGCAACTTGTGGATGTTTCTAAGTCTTTTTTAAATTTGTTTTTCAGGTCATTGTTTGTTACAATTCATCTCTCTGTTTTTTTTTTTTATGTGTGCTCAACAACTTTTTATAGTTTTTTTGTTTGTTTATTGTCTTGTTTATATATATATTGGTGATTTTGTGTGGAAAGCAAAAACATCAAGGTTAGAGGTTTTATGAAGTATTTCTCTGTAATCGTATGCAGCATCAAATATGTATCATTGCAATTTCACATATAATCCGTAAAATAGGCGAAGTAGGTACTTGAGTTAACACACAATGTGTTAACAATGATACAATTCTAGTAAAATTCTCTCCCAAGTCTTAAAACAAAAGAGACCAAGAAAAGTCATAAAACACACCGGACTTGGTCGAAAGGTTCACATCCAAAGGCAAAAGGTTTCTTAGAACATGAAACTGAAATATAAGAAAAGTTATAACTTAAAGTTCACATCATACAGCAGAAGAAGTCTTCAAATCAAACCAAACAAACCGGACTTGGTCGAAAGGTTCAAATACAACCAACCGCTATTATCGCCATCAACCGCCCATACTGCATTCTTCTTGCCTCAGTACAGTGCTCTGTGTGTTGCCTTCATCTCTGGAACAAGCTTGTAACTGCCAAAGCTGAATGATTTGCCTCCTCAAAAAAAACCTAAACAATGGCAAACCAATCATTGGGAATTTGGTCTATATGCAATGCGGCTTAGTTACAATGTCAAGATGCCAAGAGAGGGATTTATCTCACTGTTTAAATCCATCAGTGCTTTAGCCGGGTGGAGAATGTGCACCTGGTAGAAGTCACTGACAGTAGATTGCCTTGTCGATAAGTGAAGGAATTGGCTTGATCTCGGTTCCAAGTTCTTGCTCAGTTTGGTACCTGTTAAAATCCATATGAATGAGTAAAAAAGCTTGATATAACAAAACACAAGGGAGGTTGTATCAGTTGAAAAACAGAAACAAAAGCAAAAGAAGCCACAAACATTTTGAAGCGGTCCTCATAAGTTACCAAATTCACAGCCAACCCAAGGTGTCCATATCTTCCTGATCTACCTACCTGGTAGTGTAATGAATCAAAACCCCATTCACAATTTGAAGAATAAAAAATGTGCTCAAGATGATAGATCAAAAACAGGTTTCCCTTAACATACCCTGTGTAGATACGACTCAGAAGTCCTCGGGAAATCGAAATTAATGACCACATTCACAGCTTGAATGTCAATACCACGTGTAAACAAATCTGCAATAGACATCCGTTTAGTCATATCATCATCTCTTTTCCTAAACATGAAACTTAAGCACATTATCTTTGTTCATGCACAAGAGCAACACAAAACCCACCAGTGCAAACAAGGTTTCTGCATGCACCGTTGCGGAAATCATGGAAAACCCTGTTACGGTGGTCTTGAACCATCTTTGCATGAATATAGAAGCATGAGTAACCGAGCTCTGTGATTTTCTTGGCTAACAGCTCCACACGATTGACAGAGTTGCAAAAGATAATGGATTGGTTTATTTGCAGCTGCGATTAAAAACCATACTTGCTTTAAAACATCCACGACAACGAGTAGCCAAAAAAGTCTTGGGTGTCCAGAAATCTAACCTTAGAGAAAAGCGTGTTAAGGCAGTGCACCTTCTGTCTCTCTTCAACAAAAGCATAATATTGTGTGACACCCATTAGTGTGAGCTGATCCATGAGATTGATAATGTAAGGCTTCCTGAGATATCGATCCTTAAAGGACTTGACAGTGACAGGAAATGTAGCTGAAAACATCAAAATCTGTCGGTTTTGCGGCAAGAATTGTATCAACTCCTCTATAGAAGGTTGAAATTCTGCAGACAAAAGCTTGTCGGCCTGGGAAAAGATATTTGTGAGTCAGAACAATCGGCTCATGCAAAAAGAAAGTTAGTCCATCAAAATCTGCAAATATCTAGCATAAGATGGAATCAATTTTGTTGTATTGTTTTGCTCGGTGAAAAACTAGAAAATTCGTTTTGGCAGAAGTCCAACAATGTTTGATTTTTGAACACGCAACAAGGGAAGATATAACCCAAGAGGTAGAAAAGAAACAAGGCCAATAAGATATCAGGAACTCACCTCATCCATGACAAGCATCGTGCAATCTTTCAAAACACACACACCCTTTTTGGCAAGATCTAATATTCTTCCAGGAGTTCCTACCAGCAGATGAACAGGTTGGTACAATCGCATGATATCATCCCTCAGACTAGTACCGCCAGTGGTGACCATAACCTCAATTTTCAAGTATTTGGAAAGCTCCTTGCAAACTTGTGATGTCTGAAGGGCCAGCTCTCGGGTAGGGACTAGAATTACGGCTGCATAAGACTATAGATCAACAAGGTGTACACAGTAAAGAAAATACAGCAAGAATAGTAGCTTTTTATAAATTAGAAACAACAAATTCATCCGTTTCACTGAAGTAATGAGCACTCTCTGGAAGTTCCAGTGATCTACAAACTTACTAAGAAGAAAATGAAGAATGAACTTCAAACAGAGAAGATTTCAAAAAAGGAAAGTAACAAACCTTGAATGACATTGTTCTCTGGATCAATTTTCTCAAGGGTTGGGATGCAGAAGGCACCAGTCTTTCCTGTCCCATTTTTGGCTCTAGCAAGAATATCACTGCCAGTCAAAGCAATAGGAATGCTTTCTTCCTGAATAGGAGATGGCTTCTCAAAACCCTTTTCATATATTCCCCTTAGTAGATCTCTCTTCAAAAAGTAATCTTCAAATTCATTTCCTTTAGTGGCAGTCACGTCCTGGAGACAACATGAAAAAGCATGTAAACTACTATATTCTCAAAACAAGTTTCATATCTCAGTCAGTCAAGCATATAACTAAGGAAACTTATACCTCTGTCTGGTAACGATTATCTCGAGGTGGCAGCTTCAACATTGCCTTCCAGTCTTGGTTACTGGTAAGCATGAGAAACACACATAATCAAAGAAATGGACCTTCACTTCAAATCAAACCATATAAAGGAGGAAACTTTAAACAGCACCCTTCAAAACAGTCACTCTTATACTCCAAATCCAAAGTAAGTTGGAAAAAAACATCAATTCTTTTCCAAACGAGCACTTACTTAGAATCGTTGGTGTGAGCTTCAGACTGAACAGTCTTCTCGACTTCATCTACATAACTCGGATTAGCAGGAAGCTGAGGGTGTGTAGACCATTGTTGTTGTTGTTGGAGCTGTTGAATCTGCTGAGGGTTTTGTGGGTAAGCTCGTTGAACGTAGTGGTGAGCATCAGGTTGCTGTGGATTCGGAGGCCGAGACTGTTGGGTCTGCGGAAACGGAGTCCGTGAATGAAGGTATTGCTGAGGCGGAGGCTGCTGCGGATTCGGGTTCCGTGACTGAAAATTAGGATCCGGAGCCGCCGCTCCAATCCCCGGCGGAAATCTTCCTGTGTTATTATTATTATTATTCATCGCAATCTCTCTTCTTCGATCTCGAGAGAACCCTAATAATCTACGAATGAAATCTTCACAGCTCAAAAATCGTAATCTTCAAAAAAGAAAATGTTGGGTCAAACAGAGCGTTTTTGTAAGAGATGATGGATTTGATGGAACTCGAGGGGCAAGATCGGAAAATGTTGAAATTAACCACAAAACCGTTTCCGCCAGAAATGAAATTAAAAAAGAAAAAAGGAAAAATCGAATTCCCGATTCTGTGTAACTGTAGAAGAGAAACAGAGAAAGGAGAGTGATTTATTTTTCAGGGTTAGATTTGTCGACTGGTTACTAAAAGAAAGTGAAAGATACACTCGCCGGCGTCAATGGATCTTCCTTTCCTTACACAGACTCTCCACTCTTATCCACTTTATTCTCTTTTAAAAAACAGCTCCTTGACTTTTCTATAATTCTGAAACAACCCCATTACTTTTTAATATTCGTCATTATTTTCCCCTAATTTAAAAATAGATCTTCCGAAGAGGAGCTGCGGCTGAAAACGTCAAGAAAGCGAGACCTTTGGTTTTTGTTTTTTTTTTTTTGGAAACTAAAAATGATGATCGTAAAATAAACAATCCCAGAATTAGATTTAGATGTTCGACATTAACTAAATGGGAACTCCTCTTTCGAATCTCTACCACTGGAACCAAAATTACCCCCCAAATTCTCAATCAGTCAAGAAATTTTTGATAAATAAGACCTATAACACAGACATGAAAACAAAATAAAAAGAAGACAAAGTCTGTTTTTTTTGTATCCTCGTCGTCGTTTGGTCGTGTCTGGAGACTAGAACCGGCGAACGAAGAACAAACTTTGAATCTAATTTCCAAAAACAACACAGAAGAAGAAGATAGAGATAGAGGTAGAGAGATAGAGAAGGAGAGACAATGGCGTTTACAGGAACATTGGACAAATGCAAGGCCTGTGACAAAACCGTTTACGTTATGGATTTGTTGACATTAGAGGGTAATACTTATCACAAATCATGCTTCAGATGCAGCCATTGCAATGGCACTCTCGTGGTATTTCATTTCTTTCTTTCTTCTTTCTTCCTCCATTGTTACTCTGTTTCGACATTGCCAAAAAAAAAAAAAAATCACATCTTTTTAACAGATAAGCAACTACTCATCAATGGACGGAGTTCTTTACTGTAAGCCTCACTTCGAACAGCTTTTCAAAGAATCTGGAAATTTCAGCAAGAATTTTCAGACAGGTCTCTCTCTCTCTCTCTCTCTCTGTTCTGTTTCGAATCGAATTTTTTTCATTGTCTCTGCTAACAATGTCCAATTACAAACAGCAGGAAAGACCGAGAAGCCAAATGATCATCTGGTAATGAAACAGATAATTTCTTAATAGATTCCTCGGTTTTATTTCCTAAAAATTTGTCTGTTTCTTTCATCTTTGATCTGATTTTCTCAATTGAATCTGCAAGACTCGAGCTCCAAGCAAGCTATCGTCATTCTTCAGTGGAACACAAGACAAATGTGCGACTTGTCACAAAACCGTTTATCCACTTGAGAAAGTAACAATGGAAGGAGAAAGTTACCACAAGACTTGTTTCAGGTGCACACACAGTGGTTGTCCATTGACTCATTCTTCTTACGCGTCTCTTAATGGCGTCCTCTACTGTAAAGTCCATTTCAATCAGCTCTTTCTAGAGAAAGGAAGTTACAATCACGTCCATCAAGCCGCCGCTAACCACCGTCGATCCGCCTCTTCTGGTGGCTCTTCTCCGCCTTCTGATGATCACAAACCTAAAGAGAACTCCACAATTCCCGAGGGAGAAGGAGGAGGAGAAGAAGAAGCCCCAGAAGCTGCCGCAGGAGAAGAGCCTGAGCCTGTTGTTGAGTCTTGAATGTGGTGGAGGAACGATCTTATCAGCTATATCATGTTCGAAGCTTTATATACTTTTCTGTTTCAATGAATATTTGTATACAATTTGTTGCTGTTTCTTTTTGTACATTTTTTTAAGTCGAAAGCTTTTTTTTTTTTTTTTCGGGAGAGAATCTGTTGTAAACAATAACATCCATATTCTTTTTTTTTTGAAAGAGGAAATTTTCTTTGATCTTCGTTTTAAGACTTTGAGAACCAGTTCTTGTTCTGAAACAAAGATAATATTATTTTAAGAATCAAAATTCAAAAACATACGGTATCAGTATCCAAACATTCTTCTCTATTTCTTGTAATGTAAATAATCAAAAGTTGTGAGGATTCGCCAAGAATAATCAAACTCTGACTCTGTTCTTAAGATGGATAGTGTTTCAAGACATGAACAGAGCCTTGCATTTTGCCATTGTGTCATTTGGACTTGTAACTGCAACGCAAAAGAAACAATTCAACTTGTTATGAAAAAAAAAACACAAAAACACAGAGATTGACGTATGAAAATATCCAACTAACTGACCTGAATGGCCAATTGTTTTTGGTGATTCATAGATTTCATAGTCGTTCCCACCCTACAGAAGTTAAACCAGTGTTTTTACCTGGTCAAGCTCAATGGAATACCATACAATAATTACTAAAGAAAGCTGGAAATTCAGTTGAGTTGTTTACCTCATAGGTTTTGTCACCGAAGAAATGGATTTCATTGAAGTCCTCAAGGTATTGCAAGCAGTAAGTCTTATCCCAACCTTTAGGAAAGACCTGAGTCATAACAATGGAACTAGACTTAGTAACACAAAATTTGGATATAGAAAACAATTATAATCCACATTTTCATTCCTACTCACATCAAAGCTAATCTGTCCTCCAATTGAGAAAGTAAGGTTAAGATGCGCAAACCGCTCACGAAGTTCAGCCACCATCTTTGGTCGAATGTTTTGAACCTTTTAAGACAGAATGTTTAGTGATATCAACAACTCTCAGAGTTGCTTTCTATAATAACCTGAAAACACTAAATGGTTTCATGTACCTTATCATATCTCTCGAATTCGTCTCTTTCTTCTTGGCTGCAGTTGCGACCAATCGGTGACACATTAAGCATTCCATTACGGAACTCTATAAATGTTCCCCTGTGTATACAAATTTCAAGAAGAGAAATCTTTTATAACTTGAAGATCCCCTCAAAATAATAAGAAGATGACTAGAGACTAGAGGTTGGTCTTCATATGTACCTTTTGATTGGAATATCCAGGTCTGCAATGTAGTGCAGCGTGAAATTTATTAACTCCTGCATCATCAATATTACGCTATCACTAACTATCCGTACACATATACACAGTTGCATACGCTTCCTCGTCAATTAAACCACTTAAAAAAAAAACATAAAAGCAACTGTTGCTACTACACATGAGGGACGATGAAATGTGCTTTACCTTGAGTTTATCTTCTCCAAGGTAAAGCTTCAGGCTCTGAGAAAAAGATACGAACTAATAAGGAACAAAAGAAACGATAAAGAAACAATGTGTAAAGCAAAAGCCGATGTTTAATATGCACCTGGATTCCAATGGATTTCCCATCTTTATGGGCAACAAGACCATTCTCAGAGAAACAATAATCATAGTCGTTGGTTACTGGCAAGAAAGAAAAAAAAAATGAGAACTCAAAAAAAAAAAAAGGCAAACAGATAGAGACTCACAAGGCAGTAAGGTAGAGACAGATCTTAATTTCCCTCTAAAAAGAAAATCAGATAAAAACTAAGTCTTGGGGTAAATCAATCACATTTCAGAATTTGAACCACAAATGATCAGCAGCTATCCCAAATTCCCAATCTACAGACTTAAATGGATCTATAGTCAACAAATGAAAGCAGAGAAAGTCTCTATAGTCTAAAGGATCCCATATAACAAAGAAGAGAACAAAAGTGACTTTTGTCATCACAAAAGTACCAAACAGATTATAGTGTATTCGATCCGATCACAGTCGTACCTGTTTTGCCAAGCTGCTCAGATATTTTGATTAGATCAGATCCACCGACGACTCCAACAGTGACTACCTGAAACTCTCACAGACATTTCATCGAACAATAGCCAGGCATAAACACTAACTCATAGGAAAAGATATTACAAATTAGAGCAACGATTGGATCAAATCACAAACATACCTTGCGCAGTTCTCGGATAAAATCGAGCAATTCTTGAGTAGCTTCCTTCCTTGGAGCTGTGAGAGTACCGTCGACGTCGAACAAAGCGATCACTCCGGGCTTTTTGGCAGCCATTGGATGTGGTTGAACAGATGATGAGTTTTCAAATTGGAAGACGATAATGGCGGAAGATGTGCATATAAATTGGACCGATCTAATCTTAAACGAAAGAGTGTCGCTTAAACTATGGTCCTCACTTTTTGTCCTAGAGATTTGTGATTGGTGGATTAAATAATCGTGACGCATAAAATCATTTATTTCCCTACTAGGCTACTATGACTTTATTTCACGTTATCAAGGAATTCTATTTTTTGTTCCTCTTATTAAATCGATAATAAAGTTGAAAAGTGAAAACTACATCATTGTCAAAGATCGAAAGAATGAGTTAGTTTTTTTTTTTTTTCATTTCGTTCTTAGGTAAATAAATTGGTATCTTACAATTAAAAAATTATAAATATTTTCAAATAAGAAGGAAAATTCAAAGAAATCTCTTACAAACTATTGTACCAGATTTGATTGAATATTCAAATGGTATTACAACAATGGCACTAATATAGACCAAAAGACTTATATTTTGGTCTTTGGTCCTTTAGAGTTTTTCTACTGACATTTCTCTATTTCACAATAACTAGCATTCGTCACATCGTTAAAATAAAAAAATAAAAAAACAAAAAAAACAAAACTGGGTTTTATGCCTCAGGAAAATATAGCGTTCACAAAGGCCTCAGCATCAAATGGTTGGAGATCTTCTACAGCTTCTCCTACACCGATAAACTTTACTGGAATGCCCAATTCCTCTACCACACTGACCTGCAACATAAGTCCAACCACCTTCAATGAGCATACCCAACAAAAAAATTAAGAGCTTGAAGTGAGACTGGAGATCGAAATTTACCACACAGCCTCCTCTAGCAGACCCATCCAGTTTCGTCAATATCAAACCGGTAATACCAACAATCTGACAAAAAATAGTGAGCAAGGAAACTCAAGATTTTGCCAAGAGCTTGGTGAGCCAGAACACTAGGTTTAGATGGTTCCATATGTTACCTCGTTGAATTCTCTAGCTTGTGGAAGCATATTCAGACCGGTATTTCCATCAAGGACAAGTAGGATCTCCTGACATTGCCGGTGTCAATTAATTGTAGCTGACATTTGGATGGGAAATGGAGACTAGCAATAGTGCAATATAAGAAAGGCAACACAATGAGATAAGTAGATAAGCTCACTCACATTAGGTGCACCAGAGACAACCTTGCCTACTGCTTTTTTGCAAGCGATCAACTCCTCCATCAAGCTGTAGTTAGTATGGAGACCTTGCAAAAAGAGATTTAATATACCTCAGATCATTAAAACAAATGCATCAGTGTGTTCCAAAAGTCAACTAGCAAACTCTTGTATACTCACGTCCAGATGTATCACACAGTACAACATCGTAACCTTCCTCCTTCCCTCTTTTCACAGCCTTTGAGAGCACTAGTTTGGAAGAAAATGTTGTGATAGTGAGCTTTAAGTTAATGTGCCCTCAACACTGATACTGGCAAGCCAAACAGCGCATTGGTTTTACCTGTTGCTGCTTTAGCCTTCTCTCCTTCAGCCACAACAGTCTCACATCCAGTCCTCTCTGCCCATATCTCTAACTGATCACTTGCAGCCGCTCTAAATGTATCACCTGCTGCCATTAATACCTATGACAATTCATCGCAGGATTGATGATGAACATACTGATACTCAATTCTACCTATCCTGGTAAAATTTCGCATACCTATTTGAGCAACCACTCTCTAACCAATTCTCAAGAGAACAAGTTACACTTCATTATTATCAAACATGAAAGGTGTACCTTAGTCCCTTCGTTCTTCAATCTATGAGCCAACTTTCCTGAAAAAAAAAAAATCAAAAGCCACTGTTAGATAGAAGAACTTTTTGTGGGTATCCCCAATGCGAGCCAAGCCATTCTACACCAATCAATGTTTATTGCCTTACCAAGAGATGTGGTCTTCCCACCTCCATTAACACCAACGATCATGATAACAGCTGGTTTCCTGATACACCATAGCATATAGCCAGACTTTAAAAACCACAGTCTTCCATAGCTACTCGCGGAAGAGAAGATAACAAAAACAGCAAGAGGAGCAGAACCTAAAACCCATTTGAAGCTCTGTCTTGCTGTTTTTCTTAGCCAGCATCTCCAACACACTTCCCTTGAGTGCATCCTACATCAATTTCACACATATTTTGGATCAACTATCTATAAAACCTAATCCCTAACATGTACGTGTGTCACAGTGTCACAATATATATAAATATAACCTTAATCTCGCTTCCTGACTTGAGTTTGCCTGACATTATATCATCTCGTAGCCTCTCAACAATTCTAACCGTAATTTTCGGTCCAAAATCAGAAACCAACAGCGCCTACATTGAGAATTTCACAAATAGATTTTCAGTAAAACCCCATTCGCATCTGAAACCCAGGGAATCGACGAGGGATCGTGGTTCAAAAAGAAAAACCTCTTCCAATTCATCGAGAACTCGGTCTGTTTCGGCGAGATTCCAGAAGAGCAAGAGCTCATCGATGACTGCTAGATTTTCCCTAGTCTTAGAGAATCCGGAGAAAATCTTCTCGACGTCGCTTTTGGCCTTCTCCTTGATTAAGCGACCAAGCCGCGTGAAGAAGCCGCTCTGGCCAGCTGAGCAACGGAAACGGGATTTTGGTAGACAAAATTCTCCTCTGTACGGCAATAATCGGACGCGTTCGGAGGAGAAAAGCGACATGCGTCCGGCTAGAAACGAGAGGTGAGCAGAAGAAGATGCCATGGCGCCTTCGCAACTGTACAAGAGAAAGAGAGAGAGTGAAAACAAAAAAACAAACAAACCAGTGACAATACTGGATATGATGCTTTTCAAGACGATGCCGTTTTCATTTTTAAATATTGAGGCCCACTAAATCAGCCCATTACATGTCAAGTAGAAATATCAAAATCTCCAAACAACAATTTCATATATGGATGATCAAAACATGGTGGAGATTTATATTCCTTATTGTTGGTTCAAAGTCGATTGAGATTACAAATATTAACAACATAAATTACTTGGACCACCAACCCTTGCAATTTTACAATCACCCCAAACATAACGTTATCTAACATATAAATATTTGTTTTCTAATTTGTGTGGTGATAAATGTTGTCATATTTTTGAATCCTTGACTGATTTGTTGACTATAAATACTCAACAGTTACTAGATTATCCTATGAGCATGAACCATAGCCGACTAAAGGATAATTCTGTACAACTATATTATATGTATGATTATCACTTCTTTGTTCGTTTTTGGGCGAACAATTCATAAGTCTTTGCCTACTTTTGACCAAAATACGACTAACAGTTAAAAGTCACGATAATTAGTCTTTCATGTTTTTGTCGTCAATATTAGTCTTTCATTTAACATTTATATCTCTCTATTGGACTTATATTTGCTACCCGCATAGTTGCTGACGTCATGTGTACGACATAAGCAAAAATGTAATGATCAATTACGAGAGATAAGTATAGAACAAGATAATAAATCTATTTTAATGAGTACTTCAACTTCATTTATGCATGTACAGATGTACTACCACGAGTTCAGTAAGAATCGTACATGCACGATCGAGTTTCCATTAATAAATATTAATCAGATCGAGTTTCCATTAATAAATATTAATCACATAATTTTTTCCACATTAGATAAGATAAAGTGACGGAGCTAGCAACCAATTCCACGAGCAAAAAAAAAAAAGAAGAAGAAGAAGAAAATCAATTACTGATCATTGCTGATGATGAATTTTTGAACATGGGTCTTTACAATGTTTTATGAATTTGTTGTGTAGTCCATATATTTCAGATTTTGATCGATATAACAAGTTAAAAGATGTTGCTTATTTTGTCTTTTGTGTATACCAAATAATCATATATATATATATATATATATATATTTACTAAATAGTAAAATATTTGATCTGTTAATGTATTTGCTAAAGCAGTGATCAAAAACTGAAGGATTAATTTAACTGAATACGATCGAATTGGCAGTAGATATATACTACCTTAATTATATTTACTGAACGGTTGAATTGTGGTGGTGGTGTTTCGTCGGCCTCATCGATCTGATGCGGTCTGCTTGACACAACATCTATGCGTTGTGTTTTGATTGGCAACAAAGAAAAGTTCATGTTAATTCTTATTTACAATATTATTCAGATTTTCAACACGATCTCACGATAACAAACTCTTTAATATGCATGTCTATAATTAAATCTCATAAATTTGAATTGAAACAAATTTCCTAGAATATATTATTCTCTTAACATATTTATACGGAAAGATAGCTTAGATAAGGTCATTTACTGGTTTTTAAATTTGTATCAATCTAGCATCAACACGACTTTATTCCTTATAACGGATAAAATGAACTACTAGGTCTTTGGTTTCTTGAATGGAGTCTTTGTGTTTTGTAAACTACTTTACTTTGTGTTTAAAATTTAATTACTGTTCCAATTGAAAGTTCAGTTTGGCTTGTTTTCTAACCAAAATTTAACTTTAAGTAGTAGAACGAAAACTAATTTGATTAATGGTCGACTCTATATTTGTTGTTATAGTGCATTAATAAGAAATAGTCAGTAACTTGTGTTCTAACCAAAATTTAACTATAAATTCAATACTATTAGATAAAAAAAACAGTAATTAAGTAACTTGTGTTCTAACCAAAATGTAACTTTAAGTAGTAGAACGAATTTAAAACTAATTTGATTAGTGGTCAACTCTATATTTGTTATATAGTGAATAAACAAGAACGGCCTAGTCAATAAATTCAATAATAAGATTATACATAGTAAGTAATTGTTAGTTTAATTTAAGGGAGATGTGGGTCGTCAATGGCCACATAGTGGTACGTTGATAAAACAAGTTATTACTTATAATGTAAATATTGTAATTTTTAATCGATGTTAAATATGTGGTTTGAATATTATAAGTATAAGTTGACAAAAATAATGCTGAACTAGTGAAATCAAAGCAAGAAAAACAAAAACAAATAGAAAATACAAACAGTAAGAATAACGGAAACATAAACTAGTGACTATAATGAATAAAAAGCATTGAGTTTTGCCAAACATAATGTATCCGAAAGCTCTTATTACAACACATCAGAAAGTTTAATCTTTCAATCCTTTTTTTGTTTTTATTTTTTTTTACATTCATAGTGTGAAATTTAATCCTATTCTCACAAATGAATTGAATCGAATAACTTAGAGATCTAATCACAACTGCATCTAGCCTTTATTTGTTCTTATCTTTTGCATTCTATACATTGTAATCTTTTTATTTCACAACCAATAATACTCTTTATTTTTTTAGAAAACACTATAATGATCTAATAGCACACGATAAAAAAATAAAAGTGCTCAATCTACTATTTATAAGTGTTTTAGCATATTTTTAGATATATAATGACGAGAATATAAAATTTATTTCAGGTTACATACACCAGTTTTATTACATTATGATTATCACAAAAATTTTGATTTTCGCCTTGTTTTTTGCTATGATTATACTTCAGCAAATAAGAGAAACCTTGATTAGTGTGTGTTTCGTATGTTATATGACATCACCTTGTTGTGTTATTATTTTTTGTGTCGTTATGTATTGATTTATTTGATAGTGGCTATGTTTCTAAAAAAAAAAACTCTCTTCTTCTTCATCTTCATACATTTTTTATCTCTCAATTCGAGGTTGTTAAGTCATTCGGTGGATGCTCCACTTGTCAGGACCAGAACCACCACTACTGGTGCCCTCAAGGTAAACTTCTTATTCTTCTTACATGTTTTCTTTCATAGTTTCAGGTTAAATAGACAATGTTTATGTTTTATCACATTTTTTTGGATTTTCATCATCTGGAGAAAAATTCCAATCAATAACCAGAGAGTAAGTTTCCTTCTTTATACATTATTTGAGAAAGAAAAAAAAATAGTAAGCTATGCATTCTTCCCCTCATTTTGTAGACTAGGGCTCTAGAGATTGCTTTTCCTTTGATCAAGTGTTGTAATTTCGTGGGAGTGAGTCTTACATTGTTAGTGACTGGAGTGTATTTGTCGCCTTGTTTTTTGCTATGATTATGTTTCAGCAAATGAGAGAAACCTTGATTAGTGTGTGTTTCGTATGTTATATGAGTACACATCACCTTGTTGTGTTATTATTTTTTGTGTCGTTATGTGTTGATTTGTTTAATAGCGACTCTGTTTCTCAAAAAAAGAAAAGAAAACTCTCTTCTTCTTTTTCTTCTTTTTCTTCTTACATTTTTGATTTCTCGGTTCCAGGTTGCTAAGCTATTCTTTCCATGGTTTGTGGATGCTCCACTTGTCAGAACCAGAACCACCACAACAGGATGCTTGGTGCCCTCAAGGTAAACTTCTTCTTCTTGTTACCATTTTTCTTTCGTAGTTTCAGGTTACATAGACAATGTTTATGTTTTGTCATAATCTTTGTGATAATCACACTCTTCTTTTGGATTTTCCAGGGTATACGTAATTACTGTGGTCCGCAAACACCTAAAGCTGAAGCTCCGCAATCACGTTTCTGGATCAACCAAAACCATGGAAAACTGAAGCGTATTTTCACCCAGATCTACAAACCGAATAAAGGGGGGGGGGGGGGAACGAAAACATAAAAAAAAAAAAAATGAAAAACCCGTGAAGTTTGAGGGAGATAGACTATTGTGGGGTTTGAACGCAGTCAAAGAATATTATGGAATTGAAGAAGACATTGAGATTGGAATTGACCAGAGACCGGTTTGCCCAACTTCGATTCAGTCCGATGGTTGGGGAGACGTATCTTCTCCATTCTTTGATCCGGTCACGCAAGATAATTTTCAGGGTGACAGTGGGGTCTGTGACATTCGATATCGGACAAGCATAAATCTAGTTTTTTTGCTTTAGTTTGATTTTCTGTTGTGTTGACATTGGGATCTTATCAGACTTTTCATTTTGTTGATTACTTCTTCTTGTTGTTCCTTCTCGTTTCTCATAGCAGCAGCAGAATATTTTTCCAGTTCTTCCTGAGCCTCAATTTGGCATCTATATATTGCAGCTTTTAGTTCACCCATGGCAGCTTCCCTTTCTTCTCTTCTTTGATTTCACTCTTCATCCAACGCTGTTTTCAGTTCATCTATAGATGCCTTTTGACTGAAAACAGTAAGTAAAATATTCTTAGGATCACAATTTTCAGTGATCAGACTTATGAAAACATTGCCACATAAGATATTCCAGAAAGACTTATATAAGGAAAACCATCTGAACATGAGAAACAGTTTATAATTTATACACACAGACCAAATAACTTCGGAAAGAAGCCGTGTCTACAAATTTTTTAGCTATGTTGTTGCCCTAGAAGACGAAAGTGAAAACATCCCTAAGTGTCTTCTCCATCACATTTCAAAGGACGAGGCAGTCTTCGTCTCTACGTGCAGCCGCGAACGAGAGGGCGTAGGGAGCGACTGTTCGTGGAGGCGATGCGTCCACTGGAGAAGGTGGTGCGTCGGGGAGGGGATTTGAGACCAGAGAAAGCTGGGATAGAGACGCACTTGTCGGAGCCATTTTGAGAGATGGTTCGGCCAAGGAGAGCTTGAGAGATCGCTAGAGAAGAAGTAGAAGAAGCCATGGATGCTCTCAGAGACTAATGAAATGAAGAAACGTAAGACTAAGCTTTCTCTGCAAGTGTGATCATCAATCAAATCAAAACTAAACCGGAGAAAGCTTACTCATGTGCTTGTGTTGTGTCTTACCATCATCTTGAGTTGACTCGCTTGTTGCTTGAGGAGGAGTTTCTTAGACCTCTACTAGTTATTGTGTATGAAGCTGAAGCTGAAGGAAGTGAAGGGGATTTATCGATATAAGCGTGACGCTCATCACCGTTCCAATACAGAATCACTCTGTTGGTGCAAGAATGAGACCAGCTATCCCCTGAAACAGCACACGCTGAAACATTAAGAATCATAACAAAGGGATGATCATGATGATGATAATAGCAATTAGCAGATAAAGATGGTTGATTTAAGTTTGGTCACCTAAAGCAAGAGCTAACTGAAACGAGCCTTCGGTGTACTTTGTGGTCACTTGGTTTGATAACACAACCTGAGATTTGCGTATAAGAGTTAGTCATTCACGTAGCTGACTATAGAGTTATTCTGGTTTGAGTGAAGGAAGTGCTCTGAATTAGATTAAATGCTTACAGCAAGTGAGAATTTTTTGGCAAGCTTCATGAACTTTAAAGCCATTTCGCTGAGCACTCGTGTCCTCTTGGCTAAGTCATCAAAGTCCTGACGGAAATGAAACGTGATACTATCTACGATTACCACTTTAACCTGCAATCATCAAAGATATAGAGTCATAATTAGTGATCTATCGAAATTCTGTTGCAATATTCTTGTAGAAGCAAGGTTATTAAACAAACAATCTTCAGATGAACTCAAAGTCTTATGCCTACATCTTTATTTTCAGAGATGAACTTGTCAAGATGATTGACCAATGCGATTTGCTCGGTGTATCTGCAGACACGGAAGAAGAATATGTTCTCTAATATCATTGGGTTTCATCTGTACTTGATTAGCTTTAAAATGTTTATGCATATATCCTGTGTATTCCTCCATGTCCTCCACACAAGCTTCTGCAATCTGTAAAGCACGCTCCACCATGAAGCTACCTTCTGTATCTGAAGCATACAAAAACTTGGGAATCGCTGGCATTCAACAACAAAGAATCGTCTAGCCCCAGTCACTATTAAGGAAGCATACCGATATAAATTGCTTTCCCTCCAAGACCACCACACTCACGAGGAATCTGAACATTCACAGAGAACTGGATCCTGATTTTAAAAACGAAGTTAACCGAAGAGTAAAGCCTGATTAAAAAGTAAGAGGAACCAGATGAAGCGGATTTTACCCAATCTGAGTCTTGCCAATACCCGGTACCCCACCTGCAAAATATAAGCAAAAAGAATAAATCGCTTGTTGCTGCTAAATTTGGAGCAGAGAAAGAAGAAAAAAATGGAGATGGCTTACCAATCTCGGTAACATCCCTACAGCTTATTCCACCACCCAAGATGCTATCAAGATCCGAACAAGATGTAGTAATGCGCGGCAAAGATTCCTCCTCATGTAGCATATCCCAAGCATTCTTTGCTCCTTGTTTTAGTTTAGAAATTTTCCAAAAAGAGAATCCTTCAGTGAATCAAAATAAGAAGAAAAACCCAACAGAGCTCCAAGGAGTTCATCAAGTTACCATTTATAAGCGAGCTGCTTCCATTGGATCCAGAAATTTGATTTGCAAGCTTCAAAATGTCAAATGCTTCCGCCTCTGTGATATTTACATCTGTGTTCACAACACCAAGGATGACGAATTTTTCCTCAAAAACAAAGATGGTTTAATCAAAAGGAGGTAAAGTTTAAACGTTAACCCACGAGTAATCGATGGCGTTTTACTAGAAAATCAGAGAAAAACACTGTTCCGGAGACATTAACCATGAAACGATTCAAACATCTCTTTTCAATTCCAGTGTGACCCAAAAGCCCCCGATACTATCAACAGATTGCAATCTTCAGTGTAAGATTTAGGGTAAAAGAAGAAATTCACCTCGAGCGAGATCAGTTGAAGAGACGGAAGAAATCGATGAAAGAGAAGTGTAACCGGCAGATATCAGCTTCCCTCTAATCGAAGACGATAACGGCAGCCTCGATGTCTCCATCATGGTCTCTAGTCGCGAGTGAAGATTCTTCAATCGCCGGCGATTTTCGCCGCCCAAAGTAAGAAGTGTTTGGCGCCATTATAATTACTATTATTAAATAAAAATTGATTAAATGGACTTACGACAGCAGCGGTAGACAAAGAGAGACAAAAAATTCAATGCCCAGAACCACCAAATTATCATCAAATTTTGAATTTTCGCTTTTGGATAAAGAGTAAACTCTTGTTCCGGTAGAATGAAAACGTGTAATGTGAAATGTGGATGAAGATGAAGGAGCGATCGGCGAGAAAGTGTGGGTTTTGATTATAAGCCTATGCTTTTGGTGTCTTTGTAATCTGAAAGAAGGAGACGTCGCGAGAAAATAAATTCCAGGATAATTTTTATTCAGTCGAGAAATCGCCCGAGACAAAATTATTGGCCATATGTTGTAATTTTGATGCAAGAGAAAACCAAATCAAGCAAATGATCTTGTTGTTATGTCTTCTTTAGCCTCTTTGGTCTTATCATATAGCATGGCCTCTTCTCTTCCCGTGTGGCTTGTGATTTATGATGTTAAAACAATGGATCATGTTTTCATTATTACTTTTCTGAGTTTATATAACACACAGTGGAAACAAAAAACCAACGTATAACTAAATTCTAAATTAGAGCCACCAACTAAAATACTCAAACGTGGTTTTACAATGAAAGAGATCGACCACTAGAACGTTATAAAAAAAAAAAAAAAAGTCGAAAATCAAAACTGTATATATCCTACCTCTCGGATTGAATGAGAAAGAAAAAAAAAACGTGGGGATGAGAAGTAAAAACAAAAATGTTACATGAGTCCACACATCAACGTCAGTGAGTGGGTGAACCATTCTCTCTATTTGCTCACATTCTTTAACTAAAATTGTCTCAGCCATTGACCGGCTTTTTCAGCTTCAGTTATGTCCTGAAGATTGACCTTCAAAAATCCAAACCATACCCCATCAGTTCAACTCAACATTACGACAAAAGTAAAGATAATGCCACCAAAGATACCTATATGCCGTCTTGTAGTTCCGTTGCCATTTATGGAAAAGTGAACAGGTCTTCTTTCTTGTCCTAGCGATCGAACCCAATTGGAGTTCAATCTTCGAGCAAAATCTTCTACCTCTCTATAATAACATTATATTCACTATAAGAAACATCCTGGTTAGCCACAAGTTTAAAATTAACAAGAGTCTTACCTATCAAGCATTTCCTTCATGGCTGGATCGATTTCATCATCTATATCTCCATCTTCAGACCCGGCATTTGGCGTAAAAATGTCATCTTCCGTACTAGGTATGTTGCTGGACTCTGTCTCTTTAGCACCTTGTTCTTTGGAATGAAGATCATGTGATTCCTAAGCACAAGCGACGCATTCATTAGCTTGACAAAAGCCAACCAGGAGAAAACACAGAGGAACTAGTCTGAACCTTGTCAACAAAGTCTTCTGGTCCTTCTTTTTCTTCTGAAGAAACAATCTTCTGGTCCTTCTTTTTCTTGTTCTTCTTTTTTCCCTTTGGCATCTTTACCACCTTGGGATCTGTGAAACATAATTTTCCTTACTTCCAATGAGGCCTTCAAAAGGAAGTAGAATAGAGAAAGAAGAAGACTAAGAGGCAACACAAACATAAATACACACAGCATATATCTCAATCAAAGACAGACACCAAAGATCGATCATGATCTATTCATCAAACAATCTATAATTTTTAATCCATACATGCATATGCAAGAAGTGTCTTGCATATGCCTGAAATGGCAGATATGTAGCCCAACGAGACAGCAGCACGATGAGTATTTTGTCTCAAGCAGTGAGCAAAACGAAAATAGTCTATCAACAAAAATAAACATCACTGAATCAACACAAAATAATACCAAAACACGAACTAAAATGTGGTAGTACAATGTTAAATAGATAACTCAGAGCAGCCAAAGAAGAAACAGAACGATACGAAAGGATATTATGAAGTTAGAAAACCAGAGTAAGATCAAAGGAAAGTACCTCTGCCGTTAATAAATGATAACAGGTCATCCACAGAACGTTCGTCCACATGTTCTTCAACCTCAACATTCTAGACATGGAAAACCCCAACTTCATAAGCTAGTGAAGTAGTTCAATCTTACTGACCAAAGTTTACGCTCAACTTCATTCCTAAAGCTACAAATTACATTATCTAAACAAGTAAAATAGAAACTGCTAAACAGACCTTCAATCTCTCTCTTTCTTTCAGCTCCTTTCTTTTCTTAGCGTACAATCTATTCAGTAGTCGAATCCGTGGATCATCCATTGTGTTTTTCAGAGGCTCTAATTTCTCCTCCTGGATAAATTATTCAAGAGCGGTCAATAAGAGAAGCAGATGACGAAGTACATCCTAAGAAGAGATGATCTTGAGCGGCACATACCTCAGTAAGGTCATCAGGCAAATGAAATATCTCTCGTATCTCCTCAGGGGTTTTTCCTTCAATTATTCGTGCAAGTGCGCGACTAGTAAGATCAACCAAAGGCTTCAGCTGCAAACTGTCAGCGGCCGAAGTCAACTCACAGAGCCTCTTTGTGTCCATTCGGATGAATCTTTCATCATAAGTTTTTCGTTCCTAAAGCGGGGATAAGTAGATGTATTGAATGAGGCCAGATGGAGTATGGACGTGGAAATATCTATCCCAAATATTAAAGGAGCCATACAAACCTTATTTGAACGTCCAGACACTTGATGAAATCTACAGTAATCAAGAATCAAGCTGAACATAGCAGGATTTACTCGCTGTGGAAGCGATATTGCATGATTCTTAGAAGATCCAACGCCCTTGTGTACTACCTCTTGACATATCATGGGGCAGAACATAGCAACCTCTTGTTCCACTTGCTGAATGGAACCGTCAGCAGTTTGAAGCCAGATGTAGGACTTCATCGTCTGAATCCATGACAGAGCAAAAAGCAGTTTAGCTCGGAGCAAGGTGAAAAATGCATTTAGTCATTCATATATATCCACACGACTTAAGAAAGATTAACAAGTGGGTCACGTAAACTCAAAGGATGAGAATAAGCTGAATCACAGCTCAGACGCTAAATTGTAAAAATCCATGTATCAAGAAGTCTTTGGGATACTGAACTTGTTTGTCAAAAACTAAATCAACTACTAAGAATATCACAATATCTAAAACCCTCTAACCAGAACAATCTTAAACAATACTAGTTAAAGCATATGAATATTGGTCCTTTTCCATTAGAGGTGAAGGTGGTATCCATGTGAGCCAGTTTTAACTGAGAAAGCCAACAGAAAGTAGCTAAACCAAGATCGTCTAGTAAGAGAAAAAGGATGAAACCTTACCTCTGATTTCATGACGGCCAAATCACCTTCTGACATTGATGATAGATTTGATGCTATTAGACTCCTTAAAATAAAGTATTATTATGGCACTTAAAGCTCCAATAAGTAGGACACACCCTACTATATAAAGTCACTGTTTTCCTTAAATTCTGATGCTCTTCAGGAAAAAAACTAGCCACCCAGAAAAATACCCCAAGTAGAAAAGTTTCCAGGTCTATGAGCATTGAGGAATATCCGTCCACCAAACTAGTAAAAGAAAGGAAACCATATATAACAGAGATTAGCCACTCCAATAGAAAGTTATGAACATGTAATTTCATAACATAATCGTTTTGATGGCTCATTCTTCACCAAAAATCAAACTCACTCAGAAAGCCAACCTTGAATATTAAATGTAATGATGAAGCTAGTCCCTAAGAAGAAACCAAGATATGCAATGTCAATTCAAAGGTATTGATTAAGCAAAATCCCTTTTTGGCAAAGAACCATCTCCCTTTAATGCTAAAAAGGCATTTCTCTAAAGGCTTCTGACGAGCAAACAGGACATATTTGAACCTAAAAAATCCAATTAAATATAGAAATCAAAAGTAAAACCCTAAATAAGACCATAAGCACAAAATGGAACCGCAAATCAGGAAAATGAAACAAGAGCTATCTAAAAATTGATCCAATGAGGCAGAAAAAAACGAAAAATAAAAGAAGGAAACAGAGCAGAAATAGCCGTACACGTTCGGAGATACAAGTATACATATTGAACAAATTAACATAATCAAACAGGCAAAGACGTAGAGAATAGAGATACAAACACGCAACCACCGATAAGCTCTTTCGAATCGGACACCAAGAAGAGTCGATATTACGCGAATGAGCTCGTCATACCTTATAAAAGAAATCAAGAAATGGAGGTGAGCTGACGGCGGCGAGAATTGAATCCGGCGATGGACAGCGACGGCGGGCGGCGGCGCGGCCAAGCGATGAATAGCGGATAAGAGAGAGAAAGGCGACTAAATTTAGGAATTTTTTTGGTTTTATTTTTTAAATCACATGAGAAGGAGAAAAACAAGAAAACGAGAGGACTGATCATGTCCAGGTGTCAGAATCCTGTAGGCCGATGGCTTGTGGTGGTAAAAACGAAAAACGGCACCGTTAGATGAAAACAAAAATTTAGGTTGGTTATGGTTCGAGTCGGTGCCAGTCAGTCAAGTATAGTAGCGCGCGAGAGGCTTATATGTCGCTGGACTATTTTTTGTTTTTACAAATATCTCGCTAATGTTTTTGGGTCGAACCTCGCTAAATATTATTTAGTCAGAGAAATTCTTCTCTCAATTAAAAGCAAGGCCCGCTTATGGAATAGGGGGCTTGTGGATCAAAATATTGGACTGTCTATATCTACGGGCTTTATGTAGCTCAAATTTTAAAAAGCTCGAATCTTTTTAGATTTTTTTTTTTTGGTCGGAAACTCAAATCTTTTTAGATATTTTAAGAAATTTGGTTTTCAAAATTTATGATTAATGAGTTTTGAGTGCAAATTTTAAGAACTCAAATCACACCCACGCATCCTATAAACAATTTCCTTCACAGTTGTAAAGAGAGGAACAATAGTTTTGGTACAAAACCAACAATTTATCTTCTGTAAATTATTATTTGTAAGAGAAAAAAAGTATTTAAGTGATGTATATCCAAAATTTGATGTCTTTTTTCCCACGGTGTTCTGAAAATAAAACCAGTATAACTATTTCATTGAAACCATGGCTTGTGTAACTCTTTGATTTCTCCTGCAATTTAAATTGAATGCCATTAGCAAAAAAAAAGAAACCATAACTTGTAGACTAAATGAATGATGATTTTGTTTAGTATGGTTTTCGTGTTAAAACCTACACTATGCGGTTCAATTTTTAGTGTTGTATTGCGTACTAAATATAGTGGAAGCAAAAATTCTCAAAATTAAATAATCCAGGAGGGGTGGAGGTGGGGACAGTAACGCAACGGGAATAATGGGAGTGGGCATGCAATAATTGCACCCAGAAGAAAAAAGAATAGAGAAAAATGATTAATATTTGGACTGAAGGTGACAAGTGTTTGGGTGGCTTGGTCGGTTTTGTATACGTAAGGTTGTGCCACGTGTCTTCTCATCCATGGATTGGACGGCTTGGAATCATGGATTTTCTTATTATTCTCATACCAAAGTCCAAACAAATTACGACCTTCCCCGTTTTTTTTTTTTATCTTCGTAAAAGTTAAAAGCCATGGCTTTAATCCAAGCACCAAAAGAATGATAAACAACTGCGAAAGTATAAGTCCTGATTTTGATAGGAAAACCAATAGCAGATGTACTAAACAAACACGCTGAATAGAAGAAATGTAAGATAGTTGTTCTTTCTTTCGAATACATGGTAAAATGGCATATAATGGTTGTATACATACTACGAAATCTTCGGAATTTTGTGAGGATGGCAAAAAAATTGCAGTCTACGTACAGATTACTGATCAAAACTCGAACTCAAACAAAACAGGAAATATGGTTTTTTTTGCGACAATAGAATAAAAATATCAAGAAAATCTAAACAAATTTGTGGTGTTATAATTTGATTCATGTTTTTCTACGCATAAGACTTTAACAGTTTTGTTTAAATGAGTAAAAATCATTTTATGGTATGATCTTTTCACGTCGAGTCTAACTTCATTATCGAGCATTTCAATGCATGGTTCGGCGAGTATTATACACCGTCACCGAAAATATAACTTTGCAAGTATTATATATACACCGTCAAAAGAAGGAGTTTACTAGGAAATTTGGTACATACTATTACTATATAGTGCTCATATCTAAGAGCATGTCCAGCAGAGGTTTATCAAGATTTCATGGCATAGGTTTTAAGACGAAATTCAATAAAATAATAATTTTAGAGGTAGATGTTCATGGCAAAAAATTTTTCCAACGAATCTGAAGAACCCAAGTTCATCCAGGTTCATCACACGTGGAGCATCCTCATTGGTCCAAAAAAATAATTTTCGAATTAAAAAAAAATAAAAAAACAAAATCCAAAAAAAAAGTATTATTATGTTGGAATGATGGACATGGTCTAAGTTCGGTTGGTTAATGGAGTTTGGGTAGTAAAAGAAAGAGGTTTGGTATATATGTGGGACTAGAAGAAAACAGCTCGTGGGTAGGACATAGTGTCACACCCAAAAAGACAACAAAGCAACGAAGCAACCATGATTGTTCAGTTCTTTAATTTCTCTTTTGGCTTAAACGTTGTCTTTCCTTTTTGGCCTATAGTGGATTGCAGCCGAATATTACACAACCCAATATTCTTCTTTCATTGAAACGCACCACTCGTTGTGCATTTACACATTCATGGTGGATGGTATGCAATGCGTTTTGCTGTGTATATTTGATTTGTGCATTTACCTGTATTGCAGCCGAATATTACACAACCCAATATTGTGCATTTACCTGTATTACACGGATATATAAACCTAATTACCTGACTATGTATATTTTTTATACAAACAATATATCCCAGAAGAACCAGAACAAACAATGGATATAGAGACATAGAGTCTGATACATGGCACTGGGTATGCACATTCACAATTACAACTTACAGGCTTTCTGATATGTACAAATATTTTTTGATCTAGGAAATTTATTGATCTGTATAGACATACTGTAGCTAGGCAATAAAGTTGCACAATAGATACAGATTCTATTTCTAAGAGACCATATGGTTAATTGATCTATAGATGATTGAGCGATTTTAATAAAACAATATATAGTCTCATCGTGGACGATTATCATCACTCTTAACTCTAATTTTGCAGAATTAGTAAGAAGAAAAATGTTATAAATTAAAGTAAGAAGAAAATGCTATAGATTATTTGTTAGATAAGGTGTCCCTATGTATTTTAGGTGCGGTGAGTCCATGTGCTTATCCTGACAACGGTCCAAATAAACCGGCGGTTTATCTCGACCACAATTTTTCCTCCTTTTCTATTGTATATATTTTAGTAGGTTTCCAGTATTTTATTTCAGTCATAAGAACACAAACATTCATTCATATAAAGGCATGGATAAAATTCCAAGAGAAAAGTGTCCACATATTATTTTATTAAGAGTATAATTAACCATTTGATTAGAGAACACAAAATAGCTGCAAAGCGGAATTTGAAACTCTGTCCACAATATAATTATTGTCAAATCAATAATTAGCATTATCAACAACAAAGATGATAACGTTAATTATGTCATGCAATTAACTACTTAATTTAATTATCATCGGGTTTTTAAATAACTTTTGCTCCATTTGTTGGCATTATCTTCCAACATTGAGTTTTCGTCACTATAAAACCACTTCTTTCTGCTTCTCTGCAACACATTACCCACTCACAGAGAAACCCAAAATCCTCTAGAGAGAGAGACACAGAGAGAGAGATTTCGGAGATGGAAGGCAAGGAAGAAGATGTTAGAGTCGGAGCTAACAAGTTCCCGGAGAGACAACCGATCGGAACATCGGCTCAGAGCGATAAGGACTACAAGGAGCCACCGCCTGCGCCGTTGTTCGAGCCCGGCGAGCTTGCGTCGTGGTCCTTCTGGAGAGCCGGAATCGCAGAGTTCATCGCTACGTTTCTGTTCCTATACATCACTGTTTTGACCGTTATGGGCGTGAAGAGGTCACCGAACATGTGTGCTTCCGTCGGAATCCAAGGGATCGCTTGGGCTTTCGGTGGTATGATCTTCGCTCTCGTCTACTGCACCGCTGGTATCTCCGGTAAGTCTCACGACGTTCCAATTTCTCCGATCTAACGATTTCATTCTCATATTCTTCGTTATCTATATAGATCTTATGTTGGCTACACAGCGTGAATCAAATTAGAAGTTCTCCGAGAAAGAGAGAAACAGTGTTATATTCTGTCAACGTAGCTCACAGATCTGAATGAAATAGCTGTTTCAGGCTTCAATCAGGAACCATATTAGGGTTTACAAACATTGAAGTAGGTCCGATTTGCAAGAAAATGAAACAAAGAGAGTAGCTATCGATGAGAAATTCAATGTTAGATTTGCGTGGAATCGTTTGGTTTGCAGATGTTTTCTAATCCGATTTGTGTTATGTTGATGACCTCTCAGGTGGACACATCAACCCAGCCGTGACGTTCGGTCTGTTCTTAGCCCGGAAGCTTTCGCTCACACGAGCTGTGTACTACATAGTGATGCAGTGCTTGGGAGCTATCTGTGGAGCCGGTGTGGTCAAAGGTTTCCAACCAAAGCAATACCAAGCTCTAGGAGGTGGAGCCAACACCATTGCTCATGGCTACACCAAAGGAAGTGGTCTCGGAGCTGAGATTATTGGAACCTTTGTCCTCGTTTACACCGTCTTCTCTGCCACTGATGCCAAGAGAAACGCTCGAGACTCTCATGTTCCCGTAAGTTCAAAACCACTATCAAACAAGTCGGATTTTTAATTGTGGGTTAGTCTAAAATTGGTGTTTGGAATTTTGCAGATTCTTGCGCCGCTCCCTATCGGATTCGCTGTCTTCTTGGTCCACTTAGCAACCATCCCCATCACTGGAACTGGAATCAACCCAGCAAGAAGTCTTGGAGCTGCAATCATCTTCAACAAGGACAACGCTTGGGACGACCATGTGAGTTTCTTTTTTTCACTTCTCACCAAAATTTTACAATCACAATCGGATTTTGATCATCTGATTTTTAAATTTTTCATCTTTTCTATTCTTTTCCAGTGGGTCTTTTGGGTTGGACCATTCATCGGTGCTGCACTTGCTGCTCTATACCACGTGATAGTCATCAGAGCAATCCCATTCAAGTCCAGAAGCTGATTGAATTACTTTTAAAAATCTGGCTTCTGTTTTCTTAGTTTGCTTTCTTTTGTGAATCTACTGCTTGTATGAAACATCGTGTGTATGTGCTGTTCCTCTTCTTTGCCTAATTCAGACTCTTTATGTAAAACAAAGACATTTCCCTGAAAAATATGTAATCTCTCTTCTCCACTTTTCAAGCGAATTCTATATTTGGAACATCCTGGGCAGACAATTATCTTGAAACATAGTGTACCAGACATATTCAATGCATTAGCTTACATTCTGCTACAGAGAAAATGCCATCACAAGTAAATCTTACCAAACAAATTTGGCTCAACTTCAAGAAAATGACTCCCATGGATAAAACTACGAATGAACAAATCTTAAAATAAATGAGAATTTTTATAAAAAATTCAAGTTAAAAAACAAAGAGCTATTCGGTTATTCTATGGATTACCAATAAGAGTTAAGAAAACTAAAATGTGCCCATCGTGATCAGATTTCCAAACGATGTGACATTCTTTAACCTTGAAAACCTCCTTATTTGTCAATTAATAATATAGGATTTATTAAATCAATTGAGAGATGCTTACAAAATAATGAAATCAAATTTTACTGCCACAATACGAAGGCAGATGAACAAAAAAAAAAAAGAGGACAACGCACTTTGCAAAATTACCTCTATCCAATAATGCAGCCAATCAATAAACCACATCTGGCGAGCTGCTGTGTAGGCCAAAGAGCCGCGTACCTCACACGCTCCAAAAGGCGAGTGCCACCAATCAATTCCACATTCAATGATAGATGCGATTGGTTTCACCTACCCTACCTACATTGTAACGCCGTTACCAACCCCGTCATTGACGGCGTTAGATTTACAACCTGTCTTCCCTCGCAGATCGGCCGCGATTGCCGTTAGATCCCGTTTATGGACGTTAACCAGAAGACCGTACTTCATGAATAGAGTTAACGACATCTTCTGTTCCACCTTATGCCCCGTCACCACCGTCAAACGGTGGCGGAGCAAAACCGCCGCCGCAATCGACTTCATTTGCAGATAAGCCAGATCTTTACCCAAGCAGATCCTAGGGCCAGCATTGAACGCCACGAATTTAAACGGATCATGATTGATGAATCTCCCACCGTCTGATTGCGAAATCCATCTCTCCGGTTTGAATTCCAGACAATCATCTCCCCAAGTCGATCTCATCCTCCCCGCCGAGTAAATCGAATACGTCACGGATGATCCCGCCGGCACAAAAGTCCCGTCCGGCAAGACATCGTCCTTCACGGCGCGTTTCGAATCCTCCGGCACCGACGGATACAGCCTCAGCGTCTCCGATAACGCCGCCTTAAGATAAACCAATCGATCAAGCTCCTCACACGCAAGCGGCTCCTCCGTCCACGATGCCACGTCATCGCCACGTGTGTCGATCAAAACGGCGCAGATCTCGCGGAGGATTTTATCCTCTACGGTCGGGTGCTGCGTAATCAACCAGAAAAACCAGCTCAACGCGACCGATGACGTGTCACGTCCGGCGAGGATGAAGTTGAGCGCCACGCGCTGGAGGATCTCGTCGGAGTAGGATTCCTTCTTCTTGATGAAGCGCGACAAGAGGTCGTCGTGCTGGGTCCCATCGTTAGTATGCTGAGTCATCAAATCTTGCTTACGTGTTTTAATAATCTCAGACAAATAATTGTCTACTTGGACCAGGCTTCGGCTCAAGCTGACTTCTAAGCCGAGTCCGACCAATCTCTTGAACTTCCACAAAATCTCCGGCAATATGAACCGCTGTAGTGAAGCCTCGGTGGCTCGATCGAACGCCACCGCGAAGGTGTTCACCGGAAGACCCGGAGCGCAAGTCCTTGGATCTTTCCCAAAAGTCAAGCCGCAGATATTATCAAACGTGAGCCGAAGAAGCAAATCTTGAAGATCGATCGGCTCGGAGCCGAGCCGAGACGTTTCAAGAATAGGTAGAAACCGAAGCTTGATCGCTCGGTTAACCCAACGAGCCATAGCTTGACGGAGAGTCCTTGTTGTGAACTCCAAAGCGGCGGTCTTACGCTGGAAAAGCCACGTGTCACCATCGGAATTAAAGATCCCTTGACCTAGAAGGTCATGGAAAACGGCTTGCCAAGTCGGGCCTTTAGGGTAATTATCAAAGCGAGTCTTGAGAATGTGCTCGAGGTTCCTTGGATCGCACGTGACTGTCACGAGACCTTGTTTCTTGGCTAGGAAAGGGATTGCGCAGATGCATGTCTGATACGTACCGGAGCAAGCACGGAGGTTGTCGGAGATCCAGTCGTGCATTCGCTCGCAGTTCTCGATTAGACCAGGGAGACTCCCAACTAAGGGCCAGACACGTGGGCCTTTAAGACAACGAGATATGAATGTGAGCCATAAGAAATACGCCGTGATGGCTGAAAGAATCATTAGAGCAGTGGATATTTCCATGATTTTCCGGGGAAAAAGTTGTTTTTCCCTCAGAGAAAAAAATGTGCCGCTTTGGCACAAAAGTTGAGAATTTGACGGAAAATAGAGACAGCACAGGCGGTGAAAATGAGAAATTTCCGTAAAGAGTGATGAAATTTGAAGAGCGAGAGAGAGAGAAAGAGAGAGAGGGAATGGGTTTAGAAGAGATGTAAGAACACAAGAGATAAGATATATAGAAAGAGAGCAATTATGGAAGACAGACTGTTTTTCCTTCAGTGGATTTTCTCTCTCTCTCTAGATGATGATCACTCATAAACTTAGGAGTGAAGAGCTTTAGGGTATGTGAAGCATGAGATGGTGTGCACAACCATTAATGTTCCTTCTCTAGGCTGGTAGCTAGGTAGTTGGAGACTTGATATGTTCTCATTATATTTTGAAGAAAAAATGAGTAAGTGTAGAATGGTAAATATTTCCAAGTCTATGAGGTCGTAACACAAACAAAGGAGAGAGAGAGAGATCGATAGCATTAAAGACGTTTAGTTGAGGAGCCTAAGGGGAGAAAATAGAGAGAGAGATCTATGATCAAATGACCCACAGGTTTTCAATGTCCGAACATGATTCACTTATATAAAATTAATGCAAAACCCCTCAAAAAAGAGATAAGTAAAATGAAATTTTAAACTTCGGAGAAAATCGTGTAAAAGAAGTCACAAAGTAAGCATGGGATGTTGCCTCATCGTTATATCGTATTCTCGTGGCTATTAATTGCATGTTTTGATGATATTAATTAGGGTTCGGTAATTCGGTGTCGGTTCGAGAGAACTGGTAATTGATGTAACTATTATCAGGCATGGCTTGTAGACTGTATAACGGCAAAATGGCAGATCGATTTCGAGAATCACATATTTGTGTCTATTATCACGTCAATTTATTATAAAAATATGAAAACTAATGTCATTTTAGTTTCAGGTTGATGTGAAATTACTCTCGGTTAACTAGTAAAGCACGTTATTTCGCTGAATTTTAGTAGTAAAATTTTGTTTATGCGCTGTGCAAATGTATGTACGTGTACATAATAAATATAAAATTATAATATTTTTGGGTATAGAACGTAGGAATGAGTGATTAAGGTTTTAGAGTTGAGATTGTTAGGGTTTGGGTGAACAGACTCAACAAGAATAGGTTTGCTCAACTATACAACTTCTATAGGTTGCGTATGGGTTTGGTGACTTGTTGACTTTTGTCAATATATTTTTGAAAGTTTGGAACCGTTGAATACATATATATATATATATATATATATATATATATTAGTGCGAACCCTCCTAATGCCTGATATCGATTAATGTAAGAAGTACACAATTTAATCAAATCATACGAGAAACCCCCATGATATGTACATGCGCAGAGATCAACACACAATCCTAATTCTAACTTTTCAGTTTTCACGTGTCTAGGATTAGCATTTTTAAATCTTATTACAGCAGGCAGTAAACCACACACGCTGTACCAAAAAAAAAACAAACTCAAATTAAAGTTTAGACCCCCAAAAAAAACTCAAATTAAAGTCGTCTGACAAAAAAAAATACTAATGAGTCGACTTCAATCTGACAAAAAAATTTATTAATAAGTCGACTTCAATCTAACAAAAACAAATTATAAATAAGTCGACTTCAATCACATCACTGCATTTGAGTTCAATATTCGAAATTATATCACAACAGAAAAACTTAGAAACTAAAGAAACTAGTACTATTTGAGAAATAATTAAGACTGGATAAATAAACGCTATATAGTGGAAAGTTCGTCATTAAAGCATAATGCATTGACAAACGAAAGTCAACCTTCTCGAATTTGAAGCCAAGATTGCAGAATATGCGGTTCGAACTTCAATACGTTGAAATATGTTAGACTAATGATTTCCCATTGCAGCTATCTTACACGGTCTTTGTCAAGTTAATTTCCGGATAATTTTCTAGCATTTTGTTTTGTTTTCTACGGCATTGATAATCTCATTTGACTCTTTGGTGAATATTATCATATGTGGTTCGTATGATCGTGTATTTTTGTGATTGAATATGCGATATTAGGTTAAAACGTGAGATGAAAGACAAATAGACAGAGAATATAAGTAATCTTATTAGGTTACCTTCCCATCAACGGCAAAGAAAACATACTTTTCAAGATCGCATATATAATAATATTTTTACAGATGAAGTTAAATACTATATATTTTTTTCTAACTTACAATTGCGTACGGGACGTTACATGAAATAGTAGACAATGAAATAGTTCGATTAGGTACATCAGGAATATCTCAATACTTATTCGACATTTGACACATTTATGGGAATGAGTTAAGACTCTCTGGTTACGACTTGTGAACAAAGTTAACCGATCACGTATCGGTAAATAAAAACAGAAATCTTTAGATTCCGTGGGTTGTCCCACACATAACATTGGTCATTTACGTGATTATTTATTTATTGATTTTTGCCATGTACTTGTCTCATCTTGCATTTAATACCATATATATATAGAAAGAAATAGAGAAATACTATAATTTATATTGAAAAGTTAGCTAAAAATAATGAATGAGATCATTAATATAGTTAGTTACCCCGTCACTTATTCACATGGTAATTAATAGTAATTAAAGACAACACTCAACCACTCTATAGAGGCTAAAAAATTCATATACATCATCACATGCATATTTAACTATAAGTTTATAACCATTATCGAGTCGTCTATTACCGAAAATTTATAACAACAGATTCATGTTTGAATTCAACTACTGTGAGAGTGACACATGCTAATCCCCGGTTTTGTATCGGTGTAGTGTTAATAATGAGTTCCCTTTGTTAGTCGTAAAATGATTATGCGATTTCAGCATTTTACATATTTTGTAAATGGCAATTTATTCTACACTAGTAGGTTGTTATTTTAATAGCGCGACTACAACAATATTTGTTGTGCTCTCGCCAACTTCCACCCACTTTAATTTGTTATGTTTTATGATTCTACAATTGGATTACACAGATTTTGTATTGTTGAAAGATTCCGTCATTCTATTACAAATCAGAGCGCATGGCCTCTTATAGTAATCATCCAATGAGAGTGCATAAATTTAAAACTGAAAAAAAAAAAATTAAAAAGGGTATATATATATTTCCACACTAAGACAAGAAGCTTTGGACACCTATTGAAAAAGTTTTTTTTGTAAGAAGGCAATTGGATCTCCATTTTAATTGTACAAGAAAATGAAGCAACAGAGGCTCAAAAAAAAAAAAAAAAAAAAAAAAGCAAAAGGTTTTGGTACTGAGGCACATATATGTAACTGACGACCAAGTTTGTATGTACCTGTGCTCGTGTGAGATTGTGGAAGCAACGAACGCAATGGCCTTTTTGCCTCTTTGAGTTTCATCGTCCTTTGTCTCTAGATCTCACTGGTGGAGCCACTCCTAATGAGAGAAGCTTGTGGGTTACCTCTCACAAACACGTCTTTCAAGCGCGAGAGAGGCTCAAGTACTCTGCTCAGCTTCTGTGTGAGAACAAACAAACAAACAAACAAGAGCCGTCAATGATTCTGGCTTTACCGTTTGTAAGAAGATTCTTGACACAAGTGTTTTCGGTGATGTTTAGATTATTACCTCGCTGCTGAGACTTGATTGCCACTTGAGCTGCAAAACCTGCCACCTCTCTTGTTGCCAGCGTTGACCAAGAACTATGAGTCCTGTGACGGCAGCTGCAAAGAATAAGGACCATATCGCATTTGCTTCTCTTGTGCGTGAATACATAGAAACAGCTCTCCGTCTCCACCAAGCTTCGCAAGGAAGGTTGTGTGTTGCTTTTTTAGCATCCTTCTCAAGTCCAAGGGGATTTGTTACGGTATCAGAATGTGAGTGTAAGTTTCCCTCTGCATACTCATATGGCTCAGCATCAATTAACCCGCAGTGTTCAAACATGACTGGTTCACTTCCGAATGATTCCATGTGTCTAGAAGACCCAAGCGCAGGTTCAACATAGTTGCTCTGTTCATCCTGAAACCTGGTGGTGTTTCTAAACTTATCCGACAACCCCTGACCTTCCAGCATCAAGTCTTGGCCATCCTTTCTTTCTTCCTCTTCGAGTACAGGTTCATCAAGGGGTAAATTCTCATGCTCACTAGGTGGGAATACAAAGTGGTCAGACATGAACAAATCGCGTGAGGTTTCTGCTCCATAGTAAGCATCAAACTTGCGCGCATCTCTTGATTCAACGTTATATGGACCCGGAGCAGCAGCGTATGCTGATGAAGTTAGCGAGACGACTTCCCATTCATTCCCACGAGAAGGATGAGGATGCTCCTCGCGATCCTCATTGTTAGCCATCCTTAACCGAAATAATCTCCAATGACCCTTTAAACTGAAAAGGATCCTGCTTGGGTTAATTAGCCAATAAAGCAAACAGAGAATATCTCACATCTTCAATGGCAAAAACATAGATTTCGTTTTTATTAGCAAAATTTACTCTAACCTCAACAATCTTCAAATGGTAAACAAACAAAAACCCAGTAATGCAGGCAAAATTAAACCAAAAACAACAATACACAAGCCAGTGTGGTGTTTGCAATAAGATAGCAAAAATTGCAGAGTATCTTCATCAACAAGAGAGAATTTCAGAACCAGCCAAAACCAAAGATAACCGATTCCTTTCGTCCAATCAATCGGGGAAAACAATAGCAGAAGAGAGAGAATCTATATACAACATCAGCTCTTTCCACAACTAGCTTATCGAATTCAAATCGAGCTATTAGGAAACCAATATGAACAACCCCGCTCGGCAAAAATCACAATTGAAATACTTTTACACGGGGAAGAATCGCAAGTCGGCAAATACCTATAAAGAGACGATACGTATTGGATTGGATCCGAGGATTGATGATGAGATTCTCTATCTCTACGAGACTTGAGAACCTGGCAAGAGAAGAAAGATCAGCAATTATTGATACCGGCGATACCGGTTGTTAGATCGGGCGATTAGACGGTGCGACCGGCTGCAGTCGGTAAACGAGTGGGTACGCCACCGATAATCGCAAGTTTACATATATATGCGTGCAGTGCACAGCCCCATTGCGTTTGGACAACCGCAAACGCGGAAATATATGCGATTTTTTTTAAACGTCATAACACGTGGTTTGCTATCATTGGCTCTCGGGGGGAATGAGTAAACCTTCGTCTCTAGCAAATGTGTGGCAGATGCTTGAAATTAGTGGAGAAGGAGAATGGGAGATCTCTACGCTTTGGACTTCGATGGAGTTCTCTGCGATAGTTGTGGAGAAAGCTCTCTTTCTGCTGTTAAGGTCAATCCATTCTCTCTCGATACTCTAAATCTCCGTTTCGTCTCAGAGAGACTCTTTGACCTGGGCTTTGTTTCGCGAACTACATAGAAACTGTTTCTCTGATTCTGATTCTGAAAATTGCAACTTTGGTTTCAAGTTTTGGGATTTTGGCTGAACATAGTTGACTTTTCGGTGTTTATAGGCTGCGAGAGTGAGATGGCCTGGTTTGTTCGAAGGAGTTGATTCCGCTTTAGAGGAATGGATCGTCGATCAGATGCATATAGTAAATACTTTGCTTCCTTACTGTTTATTCAGCTTATAAATTGTTGTTGGTAGGTGATAGTTACAGAGTAAGTTTTCCAGCTCTGATTTTAAAAGAATGTGAAGCTTCATATTTGTTTTAAGACCCTGGAGCTGGTGTTTGTAGGTGAGACCTGTGGTGGAAACTGGCTATGAAAATCTTCTACTTGTTCGGCTACTATTGGAGACGAAGATACCATCTATTCGAAAATCTTCAGTGAGAGTGATTGCTTATGAGAACAACCTGAGATCCTTTTGGTATTGTAGATTAACAGTCAATGATGACTGCACTTGTTTATTAAGGTTGCAGAGGGATTGACTGTTGATGGGATATTGGAGGGCTGGGGAAAGATTAAGCCGGTTATCATGGAGGCTTGGGATGAAGATAAAGATGCTTTGGTCGATTTGTTTGGGAAAGTTAGAGATGATTGGATTAACAAGGATTTGACAACTTGGATTGGTGCCAATAGGTATGCCTTAGAGATCAAATCCTAGAGAAGAGAAATTTATTATATTGGCCAAACAAAAGTAAAAGTTCCCATAGGAAAAGCTCCATCTCTTCTTTGCAAATTTACCTTCGTGGCTTTGATATAGTCTACTACTATATTTGCAGATTCTATCCTGGAGTTTCAGATGCACTGAAATTTGCCAGCTCAAAGATTTACATTGTTACCACGAAACAGGTGCAATAATGATTCCATTCCAATTGAAAACTGTCTGGACACACATACCGTCTGTCGCTATCGTGACCTTAACTTTGCTAACTTTGAAATTGCAGGGCCGTTTCGCAGAAGCATTGCTGCGAGAAATAGCAGGTGTAACACTACCATCAGAAAGGGTTTATGGTTTGGGTACAGGGTCAGTATCAGTATATGGTCCACCAATGAACTCTGATCTTGTTTCTTATCCAGATTTTACCCTGAAACTAGCCTCTTTCTTTTTTTTTTGGGTCTGAAATCTCACCAGGCCAAAGGTGGAAGTTTTGAAGCTACTTCAGAATAAACCAGAACACCAGGGCTTGAAGCTGCAGTAATTCTCGTTCAAGCTTGTAATGAATATATGTTTCACTGTTTCTTTTTTTCTACATGACTTGCTAACCATTAGTTTACAATCCCTATGGGATTGTTTTATTTGGCCAGTTTCGTGGAAGACAGACTCGCAACCCTGAAGAATGTCATCAAAGAGCCTCAACTAGACAACTGGAATTTATACTTAGGTTGTCTCCTCTCTCTCGCACATATCATCTCTTCTGGTTCTCCTTGCTACATGGTTATCTGATTAAACATGCATGTATCTTTGAAACAGGAAACTGGGGCTACAACACAGAGAAAGAGAGAGCTGAGGCAGCAAGCATTCCAAGGATTCAGGTTATTGAGCTTTCCACATTTAGCAATAAGCTTAAATGAGTGGCATACTCATCGGAAAGCAAAACAAGCTTCCTTTTTTTTTTTATTGTATTTCTACGGACCAAACATGTCAAAGGAATTGTAGCTAAGATTCAGCTAAAGAGTGGCTATATCACCTATTATAATTCATCCTTGTTACTATCGCCATCTTCATCATCCTTGCTTTTCTCGGCTTGAAGTTTGTCAACGACATCTTCAAGTGGAGGATCTCCAGGTCTTCGAAACTCTTGTTTCCCTATCTTAACCTCGTAAGCCTCTTCCTGGCTCAGCACGAACTCCCTTAGCTAATTGAATATCCACCAACAAAGAGATTGATTGTAGTGTGAGATCTCAACTAATCTGATAAACAAAAGCTCTAAGCAGCATTACGTATTGAACATCACCTGTGGGTTTTACAACTTTTGAGTTTACCTCATTCACTTCCTTGCCATTTTGCATATTGAACATCACCGTGCTTCGATCTACGGCCATGAATCTTACTCCTATCCCTCCTGTTCTCAGAACTTTTGTCCATTTCATAGCAATTTCCACCACCATATCCTGATTAATATCAACCAAACAAATCACGATTTAACCGCCTGAAGCAACTGCAATCAAAGAGGGAGAATGTGAGTGAGAGAGAGATTTGGATATTTGTTAACCTTTGTCCGGGAGACGCCCAACCGGAGCTTCACGAATCCGACGACCGGCCCAAAAGTCCGTTTAGCCATTTCCGCTTGGATCTGTTCGAATCCCATATTGGAGAAATCCGGAGGCGGATCGAATTCCGGCATCGGTGCTTTCTTCCCCCAATCCTTCCATGATTCGTCTTCTTCATTGTCTTCGACGTCGTCCAGATCGTCGGGGATCTCGATCCGTCGCTGTCCTGCTTCGACGAGCTGGACGGATCCGTAGAAATTCAAGATCAGAAGAAGAACGAGGCAAACAAGTAGAATCAAAGAAGAAGAACGAAAGATCTTCTCCATGGTTTTCAATTTTTTTTTTCCTTGCAGAAATCAGATACCGGCAAAGTGAGACTGGCAACGGCATTTGTAAATCAGACTCTGCGATCATATAACGTGATTTATGCCTTTTTTGGGGGATCAAATAATTAACGACATAAACAGAAGTGGCACATTCGAAACTGCTTGCCGTTTTGTTCTTTTGTAAAAGAACTGCGTGCTGAGTAATGTACGTAAATATGACAAGCATGGAAAAGCCGTGAGACGAAAACGACACATGTTGCGCTGGGATGTGATAGATAGAATCAAGTTGGAGATGCAATGCACATGGATCTTCGTTTTCTTGTTTTTCACGTTTGTCATCTCCAAAGCAAATTACATCATACCTGTTACTTACTTTTATATTCTCGACGATCAAAGAATACGATTTTGATAAGTAACTTCAAATCTTTGTAAACTCATCGAAGAGATTCAACTCTCTACAACAAAAAGAACAAAAATAGAAAAAGGAATAAATTTGGTGAATTTCTTTTTGTTTTTTGTTTTCTCCTAAAATATCCTTTTTATTTATCCGCTTTGGTGAGTTCACTAATGTGATACACTGATACTGCTAATGTTCATCTATGAAAGTACCACTTCAAATTTCCAAGCTTTTTGACTTTGAGACTCAAGCTTCGATTAACCGTTCGTTAGAAACCCAATAACAACAGCCAAACCAATTGTTATAACCAGAGTAGAGTTCACTATATTTTCATAAAATTGAAAGTGTCACTTATAAATTTTGAAGATACACAAGAGCATTCCATACCGATAAAAAAAATAGACAATAACAAATCAAACTGGTCATAATTATTGACTTACTGTGGATATATGCATAAAAAATCCATATAGATTTACGTTGAAATGGCTTCTCTTCTATTTTTGTTTTTTTTTTGTTTTTTTGTTTTTTTGTTATCTGACTAGTTGAATTTGTTGAAATGGCTTCTCTTGTAGTTCGTCAGATTTTGTTTGTTTGTTTGTTCCTTATCAAAAGAGAAAAGACACAGAAAGAAGCCGATTAAATAGTAAATATACAAATCAACGTGAGATAGATACATAAACCTTTTTAAAGAATAAAACATACATCATACGAGGAAAAAAAAAAAACATACATTATCATGCCGTACGTTAACGAGATGAATGCTGAACTTTCATCAAGTCCTAATTATATTATATGGCTTTAACTCTTCTACGTTTTTGTGCGATAGAATATGAAATCTACGGTACTTTTCATGTTTAAAGTTTATTTTGTTGTTGTGTGTTGCTCTGTTACTTTACTACACTACTAGTTGAATTTGTTTTTACATTTTTTTAATATGATTTACTAATCTTACTCAATACAGAAATAAATGTAAATCTGAATTAACATGGGAAAACAAAAGTCATCCCATTTGAAAAAGAAAAAAAAAAGCTAAGTTTTGGGTAGCAAATAAAAACGAGGACTATTTTCCACAGCGCTAAATCATACGTGTCTCGTCGTTATTTGTGCAACTCTAATACCTTGAAGGGCACTTAGGTAATAATAGTGAAAATCGAGGTCGTCTCGTGACACCCATTTTCCGTGTACCAACTGTATCGAGAGCGTGGGGCCCAACAATCAAAAATAAAATAAAGTAAAAAACATAAAATGAGAAAACTCAGATTAATACCCCTCCCAAAAAAAAAAAGAAAAAGAAAAAAAAAAGGGAAGTAACCAGCTAGGGTTTGACTGCGAGAAATTTCTGATCGCGTGAATTTCTGAAGAGGAATCGATCATCGATTCCGTGGATTTCGTTTCCCTCCCATTTTTTTATCGAGAAGCCCCCACAAGGATCTGGTTTAACCGTTGCATCCCGCGAGTTTCGTTTCTTCCTGAGATTACCCCCAAAATCGATGCAAATCTAAAGAGAGAGAGAGAACGAGAGTGGCTAACGACTGAGTGTGTCGATGTGGGCTCTGTAAATTTCCGTTTTCGAGCGTTGCTACTATTCGAGGTTTTCTTTTGCTAGTGCTTCTGTCCGATTTTTTTTTTCTTTTTGGAGGGATTTTTTTTGTTGGGTAGAGTTTCGAACTTGTGTCTTCTTCTACCTTTGAATTGTGTTTTGATTGTATCGAGTGTAGTGACTGTCAGATTCTTAGAAGAATTGCATGCAATCTGGAGGCAGTGGCGGAGGGCCCGCCCGTAATCCGGGCATGGGTCCAGCTGGTCGGACCGCGTCCACGTCATCCGCTGCGTCTCCGTCTTCTTCATCTTCATCTGTGCAACAGCAGCAGCAGCAGCAGCAGCTGGCGTCTAGGCAGGTAGCTGATTCTTCTGAAATGCAACTGAAAGTTATTAAAGTGTGTGGGAAATTGGGGATTTGGTTCGTTTGGAGGAGTGAAGTGCTCTTTGCAGTCGCCATTTTTTTGTCTGTTATTCAATTCCTCGATTCTGTGTTTAAGGAAACTCACCAATTTCTTTAGTTTGAAGCTCCCTTCTTATGTTGAGTAATGGTCTCTGTCTCCTCTTCTGGCCTCTTGGAATAACTATATTTGTTTATGTACTGACGAATAGTTGCTCTGAATCGTAGATGATGCTTCATTTCATTGCATACTAGTCTTGATTCTTGTGCTTTTTTTTTTTTTTTTACATGGCAGCAGCAGAGAAACTCAGAGGCAAATGATAGCATGTTTGCGTATCATGCTGGTGGGGTTCAGGGAATGATGGCAGGTGGCAACTTTGCTTCTTCGTCTCCGGGCTCTATGCAACAGCCTCAACAGTCTAGGAAATTCTTTGAGTCTCCTCAACAACAACAGGGTTCTTCCCAAGAGGGCCAGCAAAGTTTTAATCCAATGCAGCAAGCGTATATTCAGTTTGCTTTACAGGCACAGCAACAAAAAGCACAGCAGCAAGCTAGAATGGGAATGTTGAATATGCAAGACATGATTCCGATGCAGGCATCTGCACAGCCCCAGGCCTCATCGTCTAAGCCATCGGGTGAACAGTTTGCTCGCGGTGAGAGGCAGGTGGAATCAGGTCCTCAACAAAGGAACGAATCAAAACCTCTTCCTCAGCAGGTGGGAACAGGACAACTAATGCCAGGAAATATCACAAGGCCGATGCAGGCACCACAGGCTCCGCAGGGTATCAACAACATGGGAACCAACCAACTCGCATTTGCACAGCAGTGGCAGGCGATGCAGGCATGGGCGCGTGAGCGTAATATTGATCTCTCACATCCTGCCAACGCCAGCCAAATGGCGCACATCCTTCAGGCAAGAATGGCTGCCCAACAGAAAGCTAATGAAGGCAATGTAGCTTCACAGTCACCATCAATTCCAATCTCTAGCCAGCCGGCCTCATCTTCAGTTGTTCCAGGTGATAATTCACCTCGTACCAACTCTGCTAGTGATATCTCTGGGCACTCGGGATCAGCGAAGGCCAGACATGCAATATGTACCAGCTCATTAGCCTCGACTTCCAGTCCTAGAATTGTGAACCCTGTAGCGAATCCCTTCTCCATCCAAGGGAGAGATAATCCAGTGTATCCTCGACATTTAGTTCAGTCTACCAATGGGATGCCCTCAGGAAATTCCATGCAGACGTCTGCAAATGAGACACATGTTTTGGATCAAAATGCGTCTACAAAAAAAAGTTTAGGTTCTGCTGAACATTTGCAAATGCAGCAGCCTAGGCAACTGAATGCACCGACGCCCAATTTAGCAGCTCCGTCTGATGCTGGTCCACTCAGTAACTCGTCCCTTCAGAGTGGACAGGGGACCCAACAAGCACAGCAGCGATCAGGATTCACTAAACAACAACTCCATGTTCTCAAAGCCCAGATACTGGCATTTAGGCGTTTGAAGGTTTTTATCTCTGTCTTTCTCCTCATTTTTCTAATGTAAAGTGTTAATCTGCAAATCAGCTTGATTGTTTTTTTTTTTGTGTGTGTGCTTTCTACGACAGAAAGGAGAAAGTTCGTTGCCTCAGGAGCTGCTTCACGCTATTGCTCCACCACCGCTTGAACTGCAGATGCAGAGGCACATTTCTCCTGTTGGAGTACAAGTTCAGGATAGATCTTCAGACAAAACTGTAGAAGACCAAGCGAGGTCGCTGGAGTGTGGCCAAGAGTCTCAGGCTGCTGCTTCTTCAAATGGCCAGCTTTTTTCTAAAGACGAAGATAATGTTGGAGATACCGAAGTAGCTTTGGCGACGGGTCACAGTCATTTATTTCAAAACCTGGGAAAAGAAGCTGCTTCTACTGATCCGGTTACGAAAGAGGAGCAACATACTGATGTACTCCCTGTTAAGTCAGACCAAGGAGCAGATGCTAGTAGTCAACAGACTCCTAGAAGTGATTCTAATGTTGATAAGGGAAAAGCTGTTGCATCTGATGGAGGCCAATCTAATGTTCCTCCGCAAGCAAACTCTCCCCAGCAGCCCAAGGATACAGCCTCTGCCAGGAAATATCATGGACCGTTGTTTGATTTTCCCTTTTTCACTCGAAAGCATGACTCTTATGGGTCTGCAACAGCCAATGCCAATAACAATCTCACGTTAGCATATGACATCAAAGATCTCATTTGTGAAGAAGGTGCAGAGTTCTTTAATAAGAAACGAACGGACAGTTTGAAGAAGATCAATGGTCTACTGGCAAAAAATTTAGAAAGGAAAAGAATTAGGCCTGATCTTGTTTTGCGCCTTCAAATTGAGGAGAAAAAGCTTAGGCTATCGGATCTTCAGTCTCGTGTTAGGGATGAAGTGGATCGACAACAACAGGAGATAATGTCCATGCCTGATAGACCATACCGTAAGTTTGTGAGGTTGTGCGAACGACAACGCCTTGAGATGAATAGACAAGTACTGGCCAGCCAGAAAGCTGTTAGAGAGAAGCAGCTGAAAACCATTTTTCAGTGGCGTAAGAAACTCCTTGAGGCTCACTGGGCTATACGTGATGCACGCACTGCTCGTAACAGGGGAGTGGCCAAATACCACGAAAAGATGCTGAGAGAGTTCTCGAAGAGAAAAGATGATGGCCGGAACAAAAGAATGGAGGCATTGAAAAATAATGATGTAGAAAGGTACAGAGAGATGTTGCTGGAACAGCAAACAAA